CGTATGAGTCGCTTGCCAAGGTAAACCAACTAGTCATGTGCTCATTCTTGTTGCTTACTAGTGTATGCAGTACCTGCAAAGGAGTGGATATTTGTAGTATTTAGTCTGGTTTTTTCAGCCATTAAAACTGAAATCCTCTTTTGATTTGATGATTGACAGCTGAAGAGCTTGGCCATTAAAAAAAAAAACCACAACCAAATCAAAACAAAACCTCATTAGTACCTAAACAGTATTTTAGTTAAGCAATGTTTCTGAGATGGCATTCCAAAATTACTTTTCTTGCCTTTTAAATGAATAGTTCTTTCATGATTTCATGACATAAATGTAAGTATGCAGGCAGCTAGGGACATATGTCCAAAACATTTTTATCTGTAGGATAGCTCAGACAAGACTTCTATTCTGTTAATAGTTGCCTTGGAGATGTCAAGACCTATGGCTAAAGCCTGTATGTTACAGCAATATGTAATGAGCCTAATGTAGGAATTACTGTATGAATTTATGTAAATTAAAGTGAGAGAATGGGGAAGCTTTTCCTGATGACTGACAGGTAGATCAGTTTTTAAAGAGGAACCTCACTGCTCCGATTGTCTGCTGTTATTATTAATATGGTCAACCCTGGGGGCAGTAACAATTGTGGAGGGTCATGGGTGGCTATTTCCTTTTTAAAAGAGTTAGCTTAGTGCTAGAAACGTGAAACCAAACCGAAAATAGATCTTGCAGTAGAAACATTAGTTAGTAAACACGTTAAATATTCTATTACATCTTTTTATATGCAGCAGATCAGTTCGGAGGCTGTTTTTAATTGGAAATAACAAAACCAAGGACACGTCCATCATTCTACAGTTAGCTTATAGAATTTAAAACTCATTTTCTTCATTTGATTAGATCCTTCTCTCTCCCTCCCCCCACTGTTCTGCTGTGGATTTTGTAGACACAGAACATTGTTCACTTGAGTTGAATTTTTAAAATCTTCATCTAAAGACTACAGGTGGTGATCATAGTGGGTATAATAAATGAAAGTAAGAATGCTGACAGTGATTGTTTACCCCTATCCCCAGAATTTCAACAGCCAGAATTTGTAATACTGCTTTTTGGGGCTTGTATTCCGGCTAGTAAGATTAGGTCAATGGAGCTTTCTCTGAGGATGTTGGAATTAATATCTATGGTGTTGGTTTGTAGAAAAAAAATATAGGTGTTTAATGATAGTACTTGCAGGAAAAATACCACATTGATATGAGAAGGAGAAGATTCCACTACCTACCGTCTATTCATGGATTGTGAAATACATTTATTCACATGCTACTGCTACCAATTAATTAAATATGATAAAATAGTTACAGAACTACAGTTATCCTCTGGTTTTCCACACATATAACTCTCTGAACAACCTTTTCTAGTTGTCTTGTATTTTTCCTGTGCCTTCATATTAAATTCATATTTATTCACATTGTTAATATGCCAGTGTCTGTGTCATTACTTTCTTGTCTTTAAGCTGTTGTGTTCATGTAAGCTTTAAGTGAGTCTGTCTTGCACTTTCTGATTTGGTTTTTGCTTCTTTTAACGTGCTTCTTTTAATGTACTTTCTCAGCTATGTAATGTACGTAATCGGTTGTGTAAAGATTTTGGGGGTTTAGTATGAAGAAGGAAAGGCACAAGACAACTTGGTAAAGATCAGTTCCTTCTCTTATAGGTAATGTACTTGACAAAGTGTCAGCTTCACTCTCTGGTATTTAAAATCCCAATTTATAAATAATATTTAAATATGGTTGGAGAAGTGGTATTTTGGTAATAGACAAAATAAATTATTTCAGGTAAATTATTTAATTTTTTAAAATCTTGCTATATTATGCTAAAATTTCTACAGCTTCACATATGTCTTAAATCTAATTCCATTCATTCAACAAAAGTATTGTTGTTCTTGTTTGTATAATTTATACTGCAAATTCTTTAAGAATGAATAAAACACATCTAACCAATCAATAAGGCATGGTAAGCTATATTTGATGCTCCTAATGTTTTAAGAGTTATTTCTTCATCTTATCCTATTTTAAAACTTTTGTTGAATATTGGCAATGGAACCATTTGCTGATAAATGGAATTGCAGGCTGAGGAAAAAAGCCTCAAACCAAATACAAAATGATAGAGCTGTTTCTTAACAGCTATTAGGAAATTAGTAATGGAAAGTTTTGTTGCAATGGGTGTGGAAAGAGCTACACCCACATTCCTGACTGATAAAAATGCAAATAAGCACCCAAGGCCCTACATGCTGTAAGCTGTGCTTTTAAATGTCACCGATCAGGATGTGCTATATGCATTGAACTGTTTGCACCACGCTGATTTAACAGTGATTACAGTTGATATAGTGTTTCACTTTGATACTCATTTTAAATAAAAGTTTGCTTACACACTCAACACAACACTCAGTTCAAAGAATGATCACCTTAACTCTGTACACAAGTTTTAGCACCATTTAAGCATAAATATTTCTGGGAATACAGGTAACTAGTTAACAGTGCACAGCAGTGATTCCTTAGTTTTTGGTTGAGTGTAATGAATAACTCTCTATATTCTCTTATTTCACGTGCTGCTTCACAGCGTTTCTGAAAAAAGATTGTTTACCTTGCAGGCATAGTTAGTTCCCAGCACCACCTTCCTTTTTGCTGTATCTCCCCACTTCGTGTATTGTGGCCCAAATGTGCTGTGGCTTTGAAAATGTTGTGCCCTCCAGAAGTGGACTCTTGGTTGCTATTAGTTATACCAAACATAGGTATTGTGTACAGCACCCTACAGCCTTGATACCCTCCCTTAGCATCACACCTTGTTTAGTGTGAGTTAGGATTGAAGTAGGAAAAAGTTGTTAAAGCGTATGTGCAGTTATAGTGCAAGTTTTGGGTTTGTCATCTTTCTGCACTAGACTTATTCCTATTTCTGAACGATAGCATGTGGGCTGTTCCTGAATAATTGTGAAACAACTCAAATCCATCCAACTCACGCTTGTGTTAGTTGCACAGAAACAAACCCTATTTCTGCTTTGTGTTTTAAAAACAAATCACTTGCAATAAATGGTTTAAATGACAGGGTCAGGATGAAGATAAAACCCAAACGTTTTAGGCGATGAATGTTCATCGTGTAACAGCTGTTGACTGACAAAGCAGCCCTGAAAGCGCAAAACGCTCTTTCCTCTGGGAGGTCCCAAGTATAGATGCAAGTTGGCCTGAAGGCTTTTGCTGGAGCTGGGCAGACCTGGAGGAGCTCCAGGCTCCGCGTATGATGATGCTGGATGCTCCGTTCTCTGAGAGCAAGGCAGTTAAACATTAAGGTACACAATGAGAAAGGCAGCATAGCAAATTCATACTGAGGATCAAAATGCAATTCATAGGACTTACGCTTGAAAACAGGTTTTGCACATCAGCAGTGGAAATACCCTATTTCTTAGGGCATGAGATTATCAGGAGAAGTTACAGAATAAACACATGTACTTGCACCCATTTTTCATTTAAGTCCCAGCTAACAACTACGCGGAAGAAACTTAAATGTTATATAGGGCAGGCATTCAGAGGCAGACCTTCAAAGTGAAATCTTGTGCTCTGGTTTAGGAGTAGGCAGGAGTCTTTTATAAATGTAGCCATTCCAATTTGTTCATAACTGTATATGCCTGTCTTCCGTGGCTATAATGGAAGTCTTATGGCTCAAGGCTTCTAAAAATTATAATCTCCTCTAAAAATTCAGAGGAAAGAAGTAAAAATTATCTTATATATGATATAGTGGTTTGGTAGTTGTCCAGGCAGTCTATTTTTTGAGTTTAGAGGAATTTAGTGCTTTACATAAAACTGAGAACACAGAGCCCAGCTTTATAAAAGGAGGGATATAAAATAGTGTATTCAGTACTACCCTCTCCTGTGAAAATAAGCTAACCAATTTGAAACAATTTATTTAATCTTTCTTATAATTGATTGCTCTTGCTGAGAGGAAAATCCTATTTAACTTGATCAGTCTTTAATTTAAAATCTTGCAGCTTTTTGGAGGGCACTTTTTCATATTATGACTGCTTTAACTCATTTTAACTCATATCAGGGAAGAGACTTAATTAGTAGCTGGGTGTTGCAAGTTAAATAATTGGATGCTTGCAGTGCTGTGAGACTGTAATACATAGATAAACAGAATGGCTGTTCAGTAAGAGCTGCTTTTTTTTGTGTTCTTAATTGTAATTAAGTTATCTGTATGGTTCCTCCAGAAAATTTTGAAAAATATGGAAATTATATTTCATTGCCTGTTTAAAAAAAAAAAAACAACAAAAAAACCAAAAAAATCCAAACCAGCAAACCCTGTCCATGTGAACTATTTGATGCCTTTGTATTCACATTTGCCTCTTCCATTTTATCCACCAGTGTCTAATGCTAGTGTTTTGCTTCTTTTTTGTTTCTTTATTTTGTTGCTTTTGTTTGAATGTATTATTGTGTTTATATGGAACTGGTCAAAGAACCGTTACTGTATTTTATGTTTGTATCTACATTTTATTTTGCATGCTTAACGTGGCTTTGCCTGGATATTCTTTTTGGTAAGTTCAGAATTTAAAAGCATAATGTTTTTCTGTAGTAAAGTTTGTAACCTGCCACCTTCTTTTCTTCCACCTGAAGTAACGTCATTGTTTGTCATACTGGTTTGTGCTCACATGCTGTTCTGCTTTTGCTAATTATACATATGATAACACTGTTTTCCTAACTATGCATTTTCATCTCTAGCTGAGCTAAACAATATGACTTTGGTACTAATGTGTACTAATTTGACTTTTATCTTCAAAGTATAGTTGGCAGCTGTTAAAATGATCTGTTCTGAGAACTCTGTGTGTATTTGAGACACACACAACCTCAATCTTAGAAAACTATGTTAAGGCTGCTTTGCATAGCCTGGTGGTTACTCTGCGCTTCACAAGTGTTATTTTTTAGCAGTCTTCTCAAGGGCTTCTAAGAACAGCGTGCATGTTTATGTTTCTCTTTTAGCAACAGCTCGCTCAGCTTCAGAAAGAAAAATCAGAGATTCTGAAGAACCTGGCATTATACTACTTCACTTTTGTTGATGTTATGGAATTTAAGGTAAGGTATTGCAAATATGTCAGTTGTTCTGTCGCATCAGGTTTCTGTCTTGTTCCTTATGAAATAAAACTTTAGAATGAAATAGCTGAACTTGTAGCTCTGTTCTTTTAAAAAAAAATCAGTCTCTGTCACTAAGCATAGTAAAGTGATTTTCTTAGTTTTTTTTTAAACTAAAGTCATTCCTTTGTTTTTTCAAGGACCATGTTTGTGAGCTGCTGAACACTATTGATGTTTGCCAAGTCTTCTTTGACATTGTAAGTTTCTGGGTTTAAACTTTCAAATGGCACTTAATGTTTCTAATCAGAGTCCTGTGTGGAGAATTAGAAGGACTTGTTTCTGTTAGCCCAAGAAATGTGACCTCTCTAGCTATAAATGCAAGAGTAATGACAATACTGTAATCTTCAGATCTCTAACTTCTATAAATACCTTGAAATCGGAAGATAGGCCATTTTAAACAGGCTACTTACAGACAGCGGTAACAGCATTGTCCATTGCAAGACATACAAATCTTTCTGTAATTTTTGCTTTATTATGTCTGCAAGTTTATTCTTAGAGGTTTACTGTCATCCACATGCTTAAGCCATGTAGGCTTAGAAAACAGGAACATTACTGCTGTCCACCTAAGAGATATGTGAGGAGGCAATTTCTGGTGTTGACTAACACAAGTACAAAAGCAGCTAAAATTGTTCTATTTTAAAAAAAAGCCCAAACCACCAAACACCAAAAAACCCCAAAAGAAAACCTCAAATACCTTTTCTTTTTGGTTTCAGCTTTCTTTTGTAATGTTCATAATGTCACCTTGCTAGTTTTAATCATTATCCTAAATTCTGGCTGACTTAGTTTCATACCATGAAAGAGGAGCAGGTATATATCCTCTGGAATGATATTACCAGGCCAGTGGGATATGTGCTAGTTTTTTACATTACAGAGTCTTATTAAATATAATTCACAGGCCAAGGCACTTGCTGACAGCTTAATAACATCCAAGAAAAGTTTTCCTATCTGTCAGCTAACCTGTGACACTTCAGCCTGGAAAGATTTATTTGCATGCTTGCTTTCATGAATAGAAACAGTTCTGGGGATTTGAGTGAATAAATTAAGATTATACAAAGTCTGTATGCAACCAGAATAAAAACTTTGATCGAGACAGTCCATTGTATCTAAAAATGCTGAAAATTGGTGGAAACGTAAGGAAAAAATTTTATATTTGTTTCTGAAAGTTTTCAAAAGATAATTTACTGTTTTTTCTCTAGACTGTAAACTTCGATTTAACAAAGAACTACCTAGATTTGATTATAACCTACACAACTCTAATGATACTGCTGTCTCGAATTGAAGAAAGGAAGGCTATCATTGGATTGTATAACTATGCCCATGAAATGACACATGGAGCAAGGTAAAAATCTGTTGTGTAGGAAGTGTGTTTAATAATAATAATAATAACTGCTACATCTGAGTGAATTGTTTGTTGTTGCTTTTAGTGACAGAGAATATCCACGCCTTGGCCAGATGATTGTGGATTATGAAAATCCTTTAAAGAAAATGATGGAGGAATTTGTACCTCACAGTAAAGTATGTAACTACTTTTCATAGGAACACCATAACCTTAACTGAGAGAAGCAGAGATAAAAAAGTAAATATGCAAGAGTTTGTTTTGTCAAAAGCCATTAGGTTTAAATTTTACAGGAGATTATTAAATAACAGAACCTATAGAAATAAAGGAGTGCCAAGACTCATTGGTGAGGTTCCATTTTATGCACTCAGGATTAGAAATGGATTAAAAACCAGTTGTGTATCATCTGAGAATAGCTACATCAGTGTTTGGTTTTGGTGTGTACCTTGAAATTAAGGAGATCTCTGATGTTTTTTTTGCTGGTTTACCATTCTAGATGAATGTGTTTTTCTATTTTGTAACCTGAGGGGCTTTGCTTTGTTCTTAAACTGGGGATGCTGGAAATCACCACTGCCTCTTTAATAATATCTTCTGTACTCAAAAGCTGACATTGTGTACCCTGCTTGGTTGATTGCATTAAGTTAAATGAACCCAATTCCTTTAGCCTTTTCTGTACAAATGTTTTTAAGCTTTTATTCTTGCACAGCTGGTTGTGCTGCAGTTCTGTGACAATTTATGTAGGCTGTATTTTCATATGGGAATATCTTGGAAAAGTGTCAGAAGCCTCACCAAAGTCAATGTATATCCTGTTTATCACTTCCCATTTGTCCACTAAGCTTGCTCCTCTGTCAAAGGAAGCCAGATTTATTTGATTGGTACTGACCAACTGTAGCTTTTAAAGGTGCTATTTTCTAGGTGCTTGCAAACTGATTGCTAACAACTTATTTTGGAATCTTTGGAAGGAGTTTAAGTTAAATACTAACTACTTGCCTGAAGTTCTTAAGTTTGTTTGTTTTTTTTTTTTTCCCCTGTTTTGAAGTCTAGGTACTGGTTGTGTTTTCTTTCTCTTGAGATTTCTCTTAATCTCCTTAAACTTTTGAAGATAGTCACTAGAAGCTCAGAGAGTTTTTCAACTACTTCTCCAAGTGCTCTGAAGTGAAATCGATTTGAATACTTCTCATTTGTCTAAATAATCTGTAATCTTATTTTTGTTATACTTTCTTCTACACAATTCCTGTCTTGTTAAGACTTACGTAGTTAAGGTACTTACTTGCAATTAATCTTTCCTTGTACACATTTTAGCAAAGATGCTTCACTTTTCAGTATTATTTTTGTTTATGCTTTCTTATTTCATAGTGGACCAATACTTCCCCTTTAAATGTTTTGTAAAGCCATTTTTCCAGTCTGATTTTTGCTTTTCTGCTTATTCTGTGCTAGAGGTATAAATTGGGGTCAGGGATCCCTTCAGGCACCATGCTATAGAAACAAATACTTAGGTTACACTCTCATGGAACTGTACACTTAAGTTGTCCTTCCATCATCTCACTACTTTGCAGTAAACCTGACAGTTGTTTAGTCCTTTAAATTAGCTTCAGCAGATGGTTTTTCTTTTTTTTTTTTTCCTGAGTGACCTTCTTTGCTGGCATAAAACTAGGCCTGACTCCCTAAGGACTCACACAAGTACCAGTAGTGATGCAAAAGATAGGGAGATGGTGTGGGACAGCACTGATTTGGATCAGCTTAATCTGCTATGAAGATGCTGCTGTAGACAGTATTGCCTCAAAATAATTATAATTTGCTAGCAAAGAGGGAAGGACATACTAAATGAAGTGGCAGAGAAGGGAATAACACAATAATTTGAATGCTTGAATAAATAATGAACAACTTGCAGTTGTACATGACAGATTTGTTGTCCCCTATTGATTTTTTTACATGTCCTCTAATTCTGAACTGAGCTTTATAACTCTAATTAAAAAATAATTAAAAAAAAATCAGTCTTCATACCTCCCTTAGCCTGGAATAGCCTTTTGTATGTGAAATAAACTGGATGCAATGGGGTTTGACCTCAATTTTAATTTCAGAACGAGTTCAGTAAAATGTTCTGATTATTGTTAGTAATAATGCTGAGAAAACAGCACTACTGATAAAATAGGACTTAGTGTCTCTTTTGCTTGGAGTATGGCAGTGTCAATACACAGTTCACACCATGAAGTAAAGAACTTGGATATTCATTCAAGACTGAGCCTTGAGGATATTTTCAAACTAATCATTGGTCTCTTTTTTAGTCCCTTTCAGATGCTCTGATTTCACTCCAGATGGTCTATCCTCGAAGAAATCTCTCAGCTGACCAGTGGAGAAACGCACAACTGCTGAGCCTCATCAGTGCCCCCAGTACAATGCTTAATCCTGCACAGTCTGACACAGTATGGGCCTTTTAATTTGCATTATATGATAACATTAAGCAAGGTTTTCCATAAAATAATGTAGGGGTGTTTTGTTTTCTATTTGATTACCGTTATGTGGCTTTTAATCTTAGATAGGTTAGTTGGGAGAGTTGGATACTTTAGTACAGGGGAAAAAGTTTTCTCACATTAATTAAAGCTTCTGTTGGTTAGCTCATGCCTTCATTTCCAGTATTTGATAATCAAAAGATGAAGGAAAGCAATGTTAACTTCTGCAGTGTAGAAGGAAGGAATCCTGTGTACTGTCTCAGAAATTTGTGGGCCAACAAACTGGCTGAAAATCAGAACTGATACGTCCTTTAAAACTTTTGCATTTGCTCGCTCAATTGTGATATGAATGGGCTTCTTTCTGAAAAAAAGCAAGTGTTCACAGCTGTCAGGTTATGATTAGTATACGTCAAAAGCCTTTAATATTCTTAAATACAATGTTTGTCGAAGCTGAACATTTGTCAAAAAATGTTCACTGTTTTGTTCAAGGTACTGGAAGGTGTGGAAGCTCATTTAATGTTCAAACCCTCAGTTTCTAGAGGGATGAAACAATGCCCTGTTAGTAATAGGAAGCAGTCTTCCATGATTCATCATCATTTAAGGCTTTATTTGTACCTTTTTTCTAAAAACTACTTCTCATTAAATTTATTGTCTTTTATATAGTTAGTTTGCTACAAATTACTGTTTTTTCAACAGATGCCATGTGAATACCTCTCTCTGGATGCAATGGAAAAATGGATCATTTGTGAGTATAATCTTCTGAAGCAGCTTGCGGTTGTATTAAAAAACAGTTAACATTTAGAAGGCTGTTTGCTTTTCTGTACTGTACAAAAGATGTTGTTTTCAAATTAGATTCTACAGAACTTGATTAAGTCTCATTTATATGTATCATACTTTTGCATATAGTGAAGTTAGAATTCATCATAGGCTGGAATGGAGATGTGTCACCAATTTATACCAGACTTTGATTAAAAATGAGCATTTTAATAATTCTGATAAAAATATCTGAGTAGTATCAGGGTTAAGGAATTAATGTTACAAAAACATTACAAAAATACCTCCACTAGAATAATGTGGAGTATTTTTTCATGTATAAAATTGTTATCCATTAAACAGTTTATCAATAAACTATTTAAGAGAAAATGCATAATAATCTCACTGTTCTCTTACTGTCTTTGTGCATCTGGTTTATGGCACGCATCAATCTAAACTTTTGAAGTTGGATTTATTTTATGCCATGGAATCCTAAATAGTGAGACTGCAGCTTTGAACCTTTGGAAACTTGCACTTCAAAGCAGCTCTTGCTTGGCTCTGTTCCGAGATGAAGTATTCCATATTCACAAAGCTGCAGAAGACTTGTTTGTAAACATACGAGGGTACGTGTTTGTTCTCTTTTTCTACTTTCAGAACCTCTCTTTAAAAAAGTACCATTACTTGAAGAAGCATTTTGAAAATGTTACTCTTACTTCATATAGGTTCTACATGAGGATAGTCAGTACACAAACGTTCTTGCTTAGTATCTTGACTGTTTCTTTAATGCATTACTTCCAGGAGCCTGATTTCATAACCGTCATGCCTTTTTTTAATCTCTGTTCTGAAAAAGTTTGGTGAATCAGTCTCTAAAATGGCAAAACTTAAAATTAATGATCTCGCCCACAAATTTTAATCTAGTGAAAAGAAACGATGCCATGAATGCAGAGTTTGGTTGAAAAATTGTCTGTCTGCCACTGTTTCTGCAATATGTCAAATGAGACACGGACAGAAACAAAGTTGAGATGTCTGCCAGTGAACACCAGGAGCACTTCAGTAGAGAGCATTTTCGGTTGGGTATCCAGTTTTAGCATTTAGCCTGATCAGGGGAATAAGTTTTTTGCGTGAGCTTTTTGCTGTATCCTGCTTGCTATGGCACTGCAGCTCCTGTCAGGTCCCACTCAGCTCTTGCTGAATTGCGCTACTTATTACCATTTTGGAATGTTTTTTACTTGCAGCTACAACAAGCGTATTAATGACATCAGAGAGTGCAAAGAAGCTGCTGTTTCACATGCGTAAGTGTCTTGCAAAGTTTTCCTGACAGATTTTAGTGTTGGTTTATAAAGAACATATAAACAGGATTTGTTGAATCCTGAATTAGTTGTGCATATTCAAATGAGATGTACTGATTGTTCTTTTAAATCTGGATTTGCTTAATGCCATTATCAATTTAACTTCCCAAGTTTTAGATTATTTTTCTAATTTTCAAGATGGAAACATGTAGTTTACTCTCCAGTTTCTTTTTGTCTGACTGCTCAATGTGAATGCAAATTACATGTAAATGTTTTAGTGGAGTCAAATGCAAATCACAGAGCAGGGACAGAGAACCTGGGTTTTAAATTTAACTGTACTTCAGGAATATACAGCCTTGGTGATGGGGATGCCAATTTTAATTGAACCACATCCTTTGAGATACTGAAGTTGGTATGATATGAGCTGCCTACTCTTGGACTTGAGTGTTTGGAATAATCAAATGTTCTGCGGTTAGCACAGTGGATGATTTTTTGGTTTGTACTTTTGATGCAGTGGTTCAATGCATAGAGAGAGACGCAAGTTTTTACGCTCTGCACTCAAAGAACTGGCTACTGTCCTGTCTGATCAGCCAGGCTTGTTGGGTCCCAAGGTAATTACAGTTCTTATGTTTTGCATTTATGCAATCTCACTTTTTGTGTCTCAGTGATAATATGATATTTAGGTTTTTTGGGGGGAAAAAAAGCCTTTGCCTTACTCTGAGAGAAAACCTACTTAGGTTTTAAGATTCCTTGGTTTTGGAGACTAGTGGTCTCTTAGTGTGCCCAAGGTGTCCAACTGTTGTATGTATCTATAAATTTGTGAACAATTTTTCTTTTTCAGGCACTTTTTGTATTTATGGCGTTATCTTTTGCTCGCGATGAAATCATTTGGCTTCTCCGTCATGCAGATAATATGCCAAAGAAGAGCGCAGATGATTTCATAGATAAGTATGTTAAAAACTTTTAGTGTGATTCCTTAAATATTTATGGAAATTTCACAGATGAAATGCGTTTGAAGGCAAGGAAATCTTGGGAAAGGATAGCTGTATGGAATAGTTGGGACTGTTCAGAAAATCTTTGCCTGGCAATCCCAGAAACTGAAGCACATCAATGAAAGTTTGCTCTATAAGATGTATTTATAAAATAAATTTTTTTTATAAAAATTTTATGCATTTTTTCCTTTGAGAAAGCAAAACAAAAAAAGCTTTATCAATGTGTCTTCAGTGATACTGATTTGCATTGAACAAACTGGAGGGGGGAGGAAACTGTCAAAGAGCTTGATTTGTTGATTTGTAGAATGTCTCCTGTATTGTAGCAACACTGTCTTTTAAATCAGACAAGATTTATTTATATAATACAGCATTAGTGTCACCATAAATGGAAGGTAAAAATGAGAAATGGGTTTAAGAGATTTACGAATACGGATAGGCAGAAGGGCAGCAGTTGTCTTTGAGTTGTTCTCAAGATTATTGAACGCAAGCTTGAACTGAAAGTTCAGGAGTTTGAACAGCAAGTGACTATCACAAGGCTATTTCTACAGCTGGAATAGGAAAACCTTGGGTTCTCTTCACTGGAATAAGTATTAGGGATGGAGGTCTCACAGCCTCTCTGAAACAACCTGTGCAAGTATTTTACCATCCTCATAGTATAAAAAACCAAACAAACCCAACCCAACAGAGAAGCAGTTATTACAATTGTATTTTTCAGATTTAACCACTTTTTGAGAATTTTTTTTTTTCAAATTATAGAGCATTATAGAAGGGCTTCTTCAAAAAATAATGGATAGTTATGCAAACCTCTGAGGATTACCACAAGGGCATCCTGCTAATTTATCTCCTGTTGAGTGGGTTTTACCTTGCAGAGAAAATTACCTATGTAAACACATTTCACAGTGTAAACAAGTATTCTCATACAGAAACTGCCTATTAATAATAGTTTTAAAAGGAAGGTATAGGAGGAGATCTCCTGATTCCACTGATAGAAATTGTTTTTTAATATTTTGGGTGTTTCATATTTGTAAGCTTTTCCTTGTCATCTTGCCTAGACACATAGCTGAACTAATATTCTACATGGAGGAGCTCAGAGCACATGTGCGAAAATATGGACCTGTGATGCAGAGATACTATGTACAGTATCTCTCCGGCTTTGATGCAGTGGTCTTAAACGAGCTTGTTCAGGTATGGCAGGACTGTGGTTTTGGGTTCTCAAACGCAAACTTTAAAAAGGGCTTTTTGTCCAAAATTACTCAATGAAATGCATCCTGGTTTGATGAACATTATGGAATAAAGCAAGTAAGTTAATTTGCTGTTTAATTCTGAGATTTAGAGTTGTACTTTGGTTGCTGTATGAATACTTAAATGTTATTAAACAATGTTATGTTTAGAGACAATGAGATGCGTACTGCAACTGAAGCAGCATTGTAGAAACTACTTTTCTTATTTAGGCTGATTGAATAAATGATAGGCTTTCTGAACTGTTTTGATTTTACTCCCTAGTGACCACTAGATGGAGCCCAAATTTTGTGATTAGGTCAGCTACTCAAACTGGACAAGTTTGTATTGTAAGCTTTTTTTGTTTTCAAAAACTAATTTCACACTTCGAGCATTATATCAGTTACCCGAAGGTGGAACTGACATCCTTTACTGTTTATTTAAATGAACTATTTGAACAGTTTAAATATCAGTTCATATCACTGTTGTGGTAATCCTTATAGCTCTATATAAGTCTATGTTAGCAGATTTGTTAGTGTGACAGAATGACATATTTTTGACATTTTTATCAATTCCTGGAAGATGATTTCCTAATTTTAAATGTTGTACAAGTGGCATGAATGTTCTGTGTTTAGATATGATAATCCTTAGGATCAAACTGAAATGAGAAAATGTTGTGGCTTGCCCCCAGCCAGCAGCTAAGCACCACGCAGCCGCTCGCTCACTCTCCCTCGGTGGGATGGGGGAGAGAATTGGAAGAGTAAAAGTGAGAGAACTTGTGGGTTGAGATAAAGACAGTTTAATAGGGAAAGCAAGGTCCGTGCGCAAGCAAAGCAAGGAATTCGTTCACTACTTCCACTGGCAGGCAGGTGTTCAGCCATTTCCAGGAAAGCAGGGCTCCATCACACATAATGTTACTTGGGAAGACAAACGCCATCACTCCAAGTGTGTGTGTCTCCCCCTTTCTCCTTCTTCCCCCAGCTTATATAGTGAGCATGACATTGTATGGTCTGGAATATCCCTTTGACCAGTTGGGGTCAGCTGTCCTGGCCATACTCCCTCCCAGCTTCTTGTGCACCTGGCAGAGCAGGGGAAGCTGAAAAAGTCCTTGACTGTGTGTACACACTGCTTAGCAACAACTAAACCATCAGGATGTTATCAACATTCTTCTCATCCTAAACCCAAGACACAGCACTATGCCAGCTACTAGGAAGAAAATTAACTCTGTCCCAGCCGAAACCAGGACAGAATAAAAAAAATTGGCTTGAATTTTAGTTGCAATTAATTCATAACAGGTATCAAGCACAAGACTAGACAAATGATTGAGTGATAATTTGGATTTTTCACCCTTTAGGGTAAAATGTCAGTCACAGCTGGAATTATGAGAAACTTCTGTATTATACTATTTAATAGAAACGTGATCTTACCAATTGTTGGAACTGCTTTTTCATGAACAGTTATATTTTGTAAAATTTAACAACTTGATAGCCCATCTTTCAGGTGGTATAAATCATTCAAATCAATGTTAGTAAAAAAAGTGTTGAGACAGGGTTTTGTGGGAAGAAAGTGGTGCTGATGTGGGCTCCATTATAACTGGCTGTGGCCAAATCTATGCAGACATACCAGGAGCCTGTAGAGGTCAGAAAAATGTTTGATGTCTGTTGTATAACAGGAAAATGTTTGGTGTCCATTTTGTAAATGAATACAGACGGAAAATACGTGGGCACATTTACTGACAGATTTTTCCGTTTTGAGCAGATGTTGGTTTGGAAGCAAGCTTTTCTAGGTATTTGTCATCAAGCAATGAATTAAAAAGTGAAAGTTCTTAAATAGCACTATTTGAAATATTCCATCAATTAAGTTGCCTTTTGTAACTTTTCGTATATTTCAGAGTATAGCTGATAAATTGGCCATGAGTACTGACATTGTTTCTTAAACCAAGTTTGAAATAATAATAATAACAATGTTTATTTTAGAATCTTTCAGTGTGCCCAGAGGATGAATCAATCATCATGTCCTCTTTTGTAAACACAATGACTTCACTAAGCGTGAAACAAGGTAAGTTTAAATGAACTTGGGAAAACGGAACAGAATGGTGGGTTCCTCTGGAAAGCTTCATCACTTTCTGTTTCATGCAATCAGTAGAAGCAGACAACTTGTATAAATGGAATTTGTTCCCTTGTTTCTCTTTCACTGCAGTATCTGCTTCTTGGTGTGTGTCCTTTTTCCAGGGCAACTCTATACAGATAGTGCTTTTGAAGAATCTTACTGGGAATTAATCCTACCTTTTAATTTAGAAAGCATATTGCCCATGTTTTCATCTAGATATTTTAATTGCCATTAGCATGGCTGTGCTGCATTGAAACTCTTGGGTAAAAGCATGAGATTCAGCACCCAAGTAATTCTTGAGTACTTTGGGGTTTATAGTTGGTCTGATATCTGAACTTGTAGTTGTTTTCCTAAAGGTTTTATGTTCTGTATTTTTCCCTGATGCAGTTGAAGATGGAGAGGTATTTGACTTCAGAGGAATGAGATTAGATTGGTTTAGATTGCAGGTAAGACTTTGTAAATATGCGTGATCCTTTACTAACTTAAAACCAAAATGTTTAATAAATTACTGCTCTTTTAGATTACACACACTGCAAGTAGATGACAGGCTCTCTAAGAATAATCTGCTCTTAAAATCAAACAAATACTTAAGCAGATCATTTGCTACATTTTGATGTAACTTTGCATTGCATGCTTCTCTTCTTGCAAATCATTCGTTGGGGTGTTTGTAACAGTTCAGAAATAGAATGTGTTGAGGATGAACAGTTTGTCGGCGGCTGTGTGCTGTACAGAGTGTGATTCAGCCTGCCCAGCCAAGGGGAGGCAGAGACTGTTCAGTGAGAAAATAAAGTTCAGTGAGATCACTTCTGTGCAGTGCAATAATAGTATCTTCAATTGACTTAATAAAGGGGGACTACTGTTTAGACTGTAAATCAGTTCTCTCAAGATTAGATAGATGTCTTATTTTTATATTTTTCAAAATATACATTCTTTTTCTTGCTTTCCAAAACCTGATTGTTTAAAGGGGGGCTCACAAGTGCGTTTTTGTGTTTCATCAATACATTTGTTCTACAGTTGATCTGTGAATTGGTGTCATATTCAAATGACATTTGGAGACTTCATTGAAAGGCAGTTTGCTTTTCTTAAGCTATAGTGGAAAGATAAAATAGTCTATCTACAGTCTTTAAGTACACTAGTGTCTTACGCATAGCATAATCGATATTTAACCTTTATATTGGGCAATAGTAATGGAATTTGCAAAAAACCCAAGCTGTAGATGTAACATGAAATGTTTATTGTGTCTTTCCAGGCCTACACCAGTGTTTCTAAAGCTTCTCTTAGTCTTGCAGACCATAGAGAACTAGGAAAAATGATGAACACAATAATTTTCCACACAAAAATGGTAGATTCTTTGGTGGAGATGTTGGTTGAAACCTCGGATCTTTCTATATTTTGGTATGTTACTAACCTGGCTTGTTCTTGCAAGTGTAATTTTTAAATAGCAAACTTTGTCGGAAGATAGGCCAGTGGGAGAATCAATTAGAATTTCTGTTTTCCATCTGAATTAGTTTGATAAAGCTATTCCTGAAGATCTGTCAGAGAGATTCTTCAAGCAGTTACATAATTGATCTGGGGTCATTCGCAGATTCTTCCTTAATATGTTTTTGCAAAAGGTGCAAGTTTTTGCAGTGGCTATGTTGCAAACATCCAGATAAAAATATGGTAAGAATAGAGAGATGCAAATAAAATGCATGAGAAGTGAATGCAGAAAACAAACTTCTTTAAAAGCATGATGCAATTTTTACTATAAGTTATAACTACAAATCTGATACTAATAGCATATTTGATTTGTGTGAAGTAGACTTTATTTGCAGCAAAATTATGTATGTGTTCCATTTAAATGTCTGTTTTCGATCAGTTTTTATAGTCGTGCTTTTGAGAAGATGTTTCAGCAGTGTTTGGAGCTTCCCTCTCAGTCAAGATACTCAATTGCATTTCCACTGCTTTGTACTCATTTCATGAGCTGCACCCATGAACTATGCCCAGAAGAGGTAATTTTTAAATGTATTGTCTTAGTACTTTTCCTCTCCCGTTTAAAGTAGGGAGGACCTGAACACTGAAATGAGTTGTTTGTTATAACAATATAAAATTTGAGGGAGGAGAGTGGTAACAAGGGTGGTAAAACAAGTAGATATCTTCTTATGTGATTCTTCACCCATAGATCTCAAAATGCTTTTCTGAAGTGAGTAGATACTATTATCTTTGCTTTAAAGAGAGATTAAACTAAGGTATGAAGATTAGATTAATTTTCTGGGGTCATTCAGGCTTATTTGCTAATAAATCCAGTATGCCTATTAAATTTACAAGCAACAGTGTTTCTTTCAAGTGGTTTATAAGCTCATAGTTAGAAAAAGGAAATGGGAAGTTGGGAGTTCTGTATGGCTTGTTATAAATAGTGCTTCTTCATTCAAAAAAATCCTAAGTGATATACAGTATAATGCAAGGATTTGTTTTGGTCAGAACTGGGTAATGCACGCCCTCTTTGGTTAGAATTAGAAATGAAAAAACGCAGAATGTTGCTTAAAGAAATGGACCCTTTGTTAAAGGAAGTAGTTTGATTCTGAGGAAATTCTTTCTATTTTTGATGTAATGAAATGGATTCTTTAGTACATTTCATGCATGTTCATTGACTTTGGAATTACTCTGGGGGTTAACTTGGCCAACTTTGTGTAGTACTTATTAAAATGTATTTTCATTCTTAACAGTGCTCATCTGAAACAGATGAATAAGATCTATTGTAATATGCATGATGTGGATTTTTCTTATTTAAATGTTAAATCATCTTCTGTTAAACTTGATCTCAATACATGCTGTGTCATTATTTTCCCTGTATACTTTGCTTTAAACAGCTGCAAACTCTATTTATACTAGGCAGCCACTACAAAGCTTCCAGGAAAGCTTCCCTTCAGGACAAGGGATGTCTTTCAGAACAATTATAGTAACAGTAAGGAATCGGTAGCCAAAGTCCACTGTACACTAGTTACTGTGAATTCAGCTGCAGCAACCACATTTTGCCACAGCCAGCAGAACTTTTAATTAAATATCTGAATCATATGACTTGGTAATTGTTATAGTTTTGGAAAAATAATCTTCCCTGTATTGTGTACAATGTGTGGTAGTGTGGCTGTCGGAAAGTAAACATTAGTGATGAAAGAAGGATTTAATTGAGACAGAAGGCTATGCTTCTACAGATCCAGTGACAAAGGAACTGAATACAGAAATTAATGCAATAGAGCTTCACTATTGACTTTTTCAGTTGTGTGAATGGCACTGTGCTTTCTCTATAGCTTGAGTTGCATGCTTTTTTCCTCTTAGATTTAATACTGGTACAAATTAATGAAAAGGACATGCACAGAAACCTTGAGTATTGGACACTTCAAAGTAGATTAATTCCAAAATCAAACATTAAAACCTACTTTTTAAAATTCATTTTGCCTCCTTTTATAGAAAATGATTTGCAAAATATTTTTAATGATAATAAGCCATTTTGTCTTTGAACATTTCATGGTTCAAGTTGTTTCAAAAAAAAAAAATTCCTCTGAGGAACTGAGGCTATTAAGGGCTAAAGAAAGTATTATTTCTCGTACCCCAGTTCTATAGGTGTGTGTATTGTCTGAATATTGTAGGACTAACAGGAAACTGAAAATAAGACTGCCTTTTTTTTTTTCTCTTTTAACAGCGACATCATATTGGAGATCGTAGTCTTTCCTTGTGTAACATGTTCTTGGATGAAATGGCTAAGCAAGCTCGAAATCTTATCACAGACATTTGCACAGAACAATGTACGCTGAGCGATCAGGTGAGTGTGGCTGTGTCTATTCTTTTAATTCTCCATTGAGATTTTCTAGGTTGTTCAACTTCCTGAATTTTTACGGTTCTATTTGCCATTCACCTTTTTTTTCCCTGTTTTGGGGAAATTTTCTGTTTATAAAATGGAAGGTGGTTTAAGGAAAAAAATTATATTGGAATTATGTAGTTAGTAGTGAAAGGAGGAATGTTTCTTGCGTGATGAAATCTCCACCTGGACCATAAACTTATTTTGTATCTCGTGGCTGCTGAGAAGTTGGATTTTAATTGGATTTTAATTTTTCCTCTACTAGTTGCTGCCAAAGCATTGTGCCAAAACCATCAGTCAAGCAGTGAACAAAAAGTCAAAAAAACAGACTGGAAAGAAAGGAGAACCTGAAAGGGAGAAACCAGGAGTAGAAAGCATGAGGAAAAACAGATTGGTTGTGACAAAGTAAGCCTCTTCTGTTCCTTTCACCTAGAATCCCAAGTCAAAACATGTGTGTTTTACATATTGAATGCTTCTTGCTTAATTTATCTGCGGAAGTTTAATTGACTGTAAAGATGACGACTTTGTAGTTTGAGAGTATATGATGCTTCTGTGGCTTGTACAGAGACTGAATTCTGCTTACGTAGAGCAATAGGAATGTGCATCTCTTGAGTTTATCCCTTCGGCTGTTTCTTCTCCCAAGCAGAAAGGATCCCTGTTCCTGTAGCTAGGTTTCCTGTATAGTCATATTAATTGTCGTGGAGGTAGGAAGTCCAAGAGTGGACGGCATCTTCACTTCTGCCTTGCTTAACGCTCTTAACTAGGTATAGTACAGGCTGGGCTGGAAGTTCTGGCTGCCGAAAGGCTGCTGGGATGGAGTTGAGGCTCCAGTGCCTGTACCAGTTGGGGAAGGGCTCCTTGTTAGTGGCTGTAGAAAAATAGGAAGTGCCAGCAAATAAAAACCAAAAACAAAGAACCCACCTGAAAGAGATAACCAAGATAAATAAATGCAGTTTGGGGTATAAGAGATGATAGGGGAGGAAAAGGTAGAAGATAATTGTTAGGAAAGATCACAGGACAAGATGGTAGAGTTGATAAGAAGAGGAAGGAGGCTGAGAAAAGGAAACAATAAATGTTTAGTGTTGTGGCTGGGAGTGGCTGAACACACACACTGCTGAAAGGGAAGTGGTTTTGCTACAGTTGCAACAACCAAACATCAGAGAACTGTGAAGGTTAGAGAAGGGAAGACAACTTGTAGCTTAAGATTCTGTCCCCTAATATTTTCAGGTTTTTAGTACTGGCTAGTAGCAAACGTGACTTGTGTTGCTTAATTCAGTTAGGAAAAAAACACTTCAACATACTGTTCTTCTCAAGCGGGGAAAAAAAAAAAAGTATGTATAAAAATAAGTACATCTCTCACATCACTGAATGTGATGCAGATCAGTATGCAGTTGCAGTTGTAGGATGTGTTCTTACCGAAAATACTATTTTTTTAAATAAGCTAGAAGAGTGTCTCAAAGCAGCAAAAGATAATTAAAGGAAAAGTTAGACCTGTACCTGCTCTTGAATTGTCTTCCATCCAGTGTGTGCTTTCCATGATAATACATACTTTCATTACATTAAATATTTTTCTTAATTTCTTGTTGCCCGTTCTTAAAGCCTGGACAAACTGCACACTGCACTTTCTGAGCTCTGCTTCTCAATAAATTACGTACCAAACATGGTGGTTTGGGAACACACGTTTACCCCAAGAGAATATTTAACATCTCACCTGGAAATCCGTTTTACCAAGTAAGAAATCTGTAATACTGTTAATTTTTGTAATTTATTGTATTGTACAAAAATGTATTTATTGTACAAAAATATTGTAAAATTACAAGTATTCATATACCAGATAAGTCTTCGTTGATTTGACATTGGAAGTATTGTATACTTACTACGGAAAACTAGTTTTTAAAAGTGTGGATTGCGAAACTTGTAAGTCAAATTCTGACTGAAATTACAATTATGTTATTTGTGCAGACATATACAATTGTTAGTTCCTACTTTTAAAACAAAATAAATTGGAAATGAATATCACCTATACAACAGCCTGATCCTGCATTCCTAGTCCTCTGTATTTTGTAGTTCATGATGCCTATTTTTAGGCATTTATAAAGACTGGCTTCCCACTGTTCTTTTGCGCAGTGCTGGATTGTTTCAAGCGTTCGAGCTTACTGGCTTGCTAAAAGGGAAATCTAAAAATCAGAACTGAAGACCTGACAAAGCCAAGTGAAAAGATATTTTAATTACCTTTTTTCTTGAAAAGTATTGCCATTTGATTCTTCTCTATTCGTATCTTGATCTTCCCATTGTTATTTACAGCAATAGGCAAATGGCAGCTTCTGGAGAGGACTTCATATTAAAACAGCCAGCTATCCTGGTTGTATTTTATACCAAGGTTTACTAGTTATGTATTTCATATAAGGTATAAAGACTTAATAAAACTTCTACTCAGGACAGAATACTAGGTCTCTGAAGCCCTTCATCTTAAGACAAGGTGGTATAAAAGTAAAGATAACTTCATGACTTTATAATAAATCAGCTGTAATCTTCATGATCCTAGACCAGTGAAAGTCATATTTGATGCTTTTTTTTTTTTTTTTTTTTTTAATTTTATTTTGGGGGGATTTGGCTTGTGGACTGGGGCTGAAGCCACAGGCAGATGGCTTTCAGAGTCTGCTTTCCTTTTTCTTGCCTCATGATAGAAATGAGATTTGTTAACCAAACAGAATAAATGTTCAATTTATAATTATTTTTCAGATACTTAAGTGGCGTTTCTTCCAGAGGCTTGCAATTTACCTTTAAATAAAGTATTAGTGTTTCAGTGTTAGGAGGGGTTTTGTTTACTGTTTTAAACTGCTCTGTGTCATGTATGATTGAACTAGAGCTTATTATTACATCACTTAATCTTGTAATAATACCAATTATGAATTGGTTTTAAAACCGAAGATAAACTGTCTCAGAAGTAAACTTGTGCAAAAACGCTTATTTGCACATTTCTAAGCAACTGGAAGAATGTTACTTAAATAAGCTGATGTTCTCCTCCAGAATAACTCATCCCATTCACCTCTGGCGAAGGTAGTAATATACCAATTTCTTACTTCTTTTTTGTTGCTGTTCTGCCTTTGAGAAGTCATACCACTCAGAAGCTTAGCTCTGAAAGTCTGGGACCATTACAAGCCTGAAATTAATACTACAACAAGTATTTGTTTGCTGAGAAGACTTTATTTGCTTTAAGGACCCCTGATACAGTTCTGATCTAGCTTGAAAGCTAGCCTGATGTATAGGATATCTGTTACTAGAAGCCTGATTTTTTTTATAGTGAGAATTTGGACAAATCAAAGTATGTCATGCAGTTTCTTGACTTTTTGATTAAAGATAGAAATCACTGTGTCAGCTAAAGGGAAAATTGTTTTTCATTAATACGATTCCTATTTATTTTCTTAACATATACCCAATTTTTAAAAATTGTGTATACAAACATAACTGAAGCTTACCTACCAAATGATGTGAAAAAAATTCCTTTTATGTGCTTACAAGATAATTGCTATGGGGCATTAGCTGTTGAAAGCAGAGCTTCTGATAACTTTCTTGAAAAGTTATTTAAAACAGTTAAACTGTAATTTAAAAAAAAAAAAAAGTATGCCCTAGGAAACCTGTCTGTATTGCAAAAGAGGTGAAATCTTTACAGGTAACTTTGAGGGGGTTTTTTTGGTTTGGTTTTTTTGGGGGGTGTTTTTTGGGGGGTGTTTTTTGTGTGTGGGTGTTTTTTTTTTGTTTTTTTTTTTTTTTTAAGTACTGCTTGAGCTGAGGTGGCAAGAAGGGAGATTGAATAATATGGTCTGGGTCTTGCAAAATTTATGCACTCGAATACAGTAGGCATAGTTAATACCACATGATCATCAGATGTGCCTTTAAATACTTATGCAAGGCAACACAAGGTAGAAGTTTTGCTTTGAATATTTTCAATTCATCATTATAGCTATATGATTTATTTTTTTTTTACAGATATTTCAAACTAAAACTATGAGAGCAACTTTGGTCAAAGAATTTTTGCCTTAGTTAATATGCTTTGAACACTTTAATACATCATTGCTCTTGCATTTCCCAGAAGTTTGCATCTTAAAAGACTTTAACATTAATTTAGAAGTGGTAGTATAAGTCTTCCACATTGTGGGTTGCCCTTATATATGGGGGAAGAAAACCTTTATTTTAAAAATACCCAGTGAGTATTCTTACAGTCTCATGAAATTTTTGCTGGAACCATGAATACAGTTGTTGTTGGCATCTAGAACTATTTTTAGAAGTGCTGGTGTAGTATATTCGTTGATTAGAGTTTTATACTTGCAGAGTGGAAAATATTCAGAGAGAAGCTTTGAATATAAAATCATTTCTATAGCTGCATCTTTGTCTCTGTTCAGTTTTACTAATAAATGCAATTTATATGTTTTGTTTCTAAAAGGTCAATTGTTGGAATGACTATGTATAATCAAGCGACACAAGAGATTGCAAAGCCTTCAGAGCTGTTAACCAGTGTAAGAGCCTATATGACAGTCCTCCAGTCAATAGAAAATTATGTACAGATTGACATTACAAGAGTATTTAACAATGTTCTGCTTCAGCAAACACAGCATTTAGATAGTCATGGTGAGCCAACCATTACCAGTCTGTATACAAATTGGTAAGTAATTATATGAACACTTGTTACAAGGTTTTTTTTGTTATTTTTATTTAATTAAAAATCTGGAATCAGAGAAGTGGAGTTGTTTGAAATTTTCTTAACTTTCTGACTTCTGCAAGTTTACTTCTCCTGTACTTTACCTGTACCTTTACCTTTACTCCTTACTTTACCTGTTAAAAGCACTTTAAAGTTTGCCTATTGTGGAAGTCACTTTTTGTAGGGGGGAGATGTAGAATAAAATGCAGCTATCAGTTGAACTATGAAAGTAAAACTTTAGTCTATAGGCTTTGCTGTCCCTTGTCACACAGGTATACTTCATCTGTATAGAGTATCAATGAACACGTGTCTCTTCATTTAAAACTTTTTCCCTTTCTGATAAGGTATTTGGAAACTTTGCTACGGCAAGTCAGCAATGGTCACATAGCCTATTTTCCAGCCATGAAGGCGTTTGTGAATTTGCCTACAGAAAATGAATTGACATTTAATGCTGAGGAGTACTCTGACATATCAGGTAAACTTTTTGATGTTTCTACCGAATGTTTGTGAAGGATAGTTACCATACGCTTGAGTAATTGGAGTAACATCGACTCTTAGAGTGTTCTATTATAGACAGCATTACTTAACCTTTAGCAGTATTTTAAATACTTTTTGTTAGTGCTGCCTCTATGCCTTGAGAGAGCTCACTTTTCCTATTTTTGGTCAAAGCAGGATTGCTGCATTTAAGCTGCAGAGATAGGAGTGTATGTGTTGGTGACTGCTGGTTCAGTTCTATTATGATATGAGTTCTTGTATCTAAAATTCAATTTTGTGGTAAAACATTTTGCAATTAAAACACTACTGCTAGATACACTATGGGCGTCAAATAACTGAAGAAGCAATGTTTGAAGTATAACAGTTTGTTTTATTTCTCAGAAATGAGAGCCCTTTCTGAACTTCTGGGACCATATGGCATGAAGTTCCTAAGTGAAAGTCTGATGTGGCACATTTCTTCACAGGTTGCTGAACTTAAGGTAACCTTGGGAAACACGTGGGTGGGAAGGCGGGTGGTTTTCTGTTTAAGCTTCCTTTAGGATATTTAATAGCTATGCTTTTGCATGCCATCTTTTTGAAATGACTGCATCAAATAAACTGACAAAGCTGTGAATTTTACTCTTATTCTGTAGTACACTTGCACACATAGTACATGTGCATCCCCTGTTCTTCAACAGCTGAATGGGCAGGACTTTATTCAGGCTCTGTTGATTTCTGTTTTAGATACCCTAAGTTAGGAGTCAAGGCTCTTTTTATCATCAGTGGGAGAAATGTTTTTCAAGATCTCCAGGTGCTTGCAAAGCTCTTAGCCAAGTCTGTTGGCTCTCAAAACTTGGCATGAAAATCTCAAATATATCTTAGCCATCTATAAGAACTTACTTTCTTCACCATGTGTGTTAGCATCTGTTGCTCAGTTTACACGGATAGGAGACTTCGGGTCTTTTTTCTTTGTTAGTTTTTCTTGGTTCTAGACATATCCTTCCCTCTGGCTCAATGGTATCCATTTGTTGTAAATGTCTGTATTCTGATAAATAAACCTGATGCCTACAGCAGCACAAACAAACAATAAAGTTAGTGCCATGAAAAAAGTTGGAATTACGGGTATTGCATATGGGAAGCTAGTTGCATGTATATGCAAAACAACGAACAATGACAGGGGAAGCACTTGGTGCCTATGTAATTAACTCTTTCTGGAAAACAGCTTTAAAAAGTTTAATAACGTGTATTGCTTTCTCAGGATAGTCATACTATTAAAACGCAACTATATTGGCATATATTTGCTTTTCATATGACTTACCCTTTTAGTGACTGTCACTTCCAAACTTAATTCCAAGCTGTTATTACATCTCATCATCTTCAGTTTATTTAACTACTAATTACAAAAAGGATTTTTTGGTAACTATTTATGCATGCTCTCTTTGTAAAAATGCACATGAATACTTAAGAGATCTAAGGAACTATTTTTTTTTTTATTCAAAACCAATTTATTCTTATTACCAGGCTTTTAAAAGTATGTGTTTTTAATATATTCCATGTTACAATTTCAAAGATCTTGTTCTCCATGTAAACACTGTGAATTTTGGTGCTGCTCATTTGCTAGGTTGTATGATGTCCTAAAAGATTTGAAGCCTTTTATTCAGTGTCACAGCTTAAGGAGAGGGGCTGCTTGTGCTTTCCCAGCTGCCGCAAGAGCATGCAGCAACCCTGACCTGAGTGACGAGCTGATTCCTTATGCCCATTCCAATTCTTGAGTTTTAGGATGAGACTGTCCAGGTGAAAATGCTATGATTTTAAGGTTAAACTATGTAACTCCTGGCTATGCACAAAGTGACATCTGTCACATTTCAAGTAAAACCCAAAGCCATTGGGCAGATGTTTGTTGGTCGCTGCTGTCTTTGTCAACTTACTGTGGAGTTGTCATACTTCCTCAGGATTGGCACGATTGATACTGTAGCTCTGGGTATTTTTTTCTTTAAAAGCAACTTTAAATTGTCTCTGAGACTTGTTGTTTTCTGATACTGCTAAGGATAAGCAGAACATAACGTAGATCCACAGGCACATGACCACATATTTGGAGGAAAAAAATAAAGTAATAAAATGTTCATCTCTTTGGCTGAGATGCAGTTGGCTTAGCAAGAGAGCAGTGAGAAACATCTGTGTTTGGGGGAAGGAAGCAACAAGGGGGATAGAATGGGGAATTTATTAAGAGTAGGGCTCAGCATGCTTGTTTTGCTTCCCACAGTGGGACCAGGTGTTGGTTTTATATCTGAAGTTTAAGACTGGGGCGATGAGGGGAAGTTTGTCTCATTGAAGTAACTATTTGAACTGTATTCCAGCCTGTTCCTTTTAAAGCTTAAACTGATATGCTGGTTATTTTTTGTAAAGCTGAAAGCTTGACTCAATAACAATGTGCGTGGGCTATTGCCTTCAATCTTGCATTCTGGAGAGCTTTGAGGGTTTTAAATTAAAACGTCACACATCTGCCAAGTTCTGATATATCAGCTGGTTTAAAATTGCCCATCTTGATTTCAGTGCAAACCAGTCTTGTTTTGGCTTTCAGCATAGAAGTACGTCTTGTGTGTCTACGTGTGTGCACATGTGCACGCGTTCTTGGTTACTTTGCTACGTCTTGTATAGCTTATATCTTTCCTTGCTTCTCACTGAAGGTAAGAATGAAAGCGAGAAGACTGAGTGAATTATGGATAGACTTGAGGTTATGGAAATAGCACGACCATGACACAATGTAATTGAATCTGAGAGGTCTAATCTGTTGGAGAGCTTTGCTTTGCACAGGCTACTTGACTAGGTGGGAGTAAACACAGACCACCATTTACTTCATAGCAGCTTTATAATTTGTTGTGTTGGGTTTTTTTCTCCTCCTGTGGTCACAGGAATATTTACTCTGAAATTTAATTTCTCTGCTTGCTAGTTGCTATGTTTTGCCCTGCTTTCAGCATGCCTTGAAAGGAAGTAAAATAAAACTATTAAAGCAGTTGGCAGAACTATCAAAGGTGAAATGTTCTCAGATTCTTAGCAGTAGGTTCCTGCAGGTATGTCTCTTCTTAGATTTTATGTGATATATCTTAAATTATCTTCCAGGCTTATAATGGCTTCTGTGTTTGATGAATAGTAGTTTTTCCTGCTCTTTCCTCATTGCTCCTTTTGTTTGTGCTGCCTAGTATATAATGGGGATTGAAAAACAGAAATAATCACTTTGGAAGACCACCCCCAATCCAGAATATCTTGGTTTTTTCCTCCATCTTTCAGTTCTTTTCTACCTTGATATTAGTATACAAGTATATTTTGGTTTAGTATATGAAGCACTAAATTAAATCTTCCTTGAAAGAAGGGAAATGCTTTCTTCATTTAATGTTCAGAAGCACACAAGATATCTAAATTTTCTTAGCTGCTGGTTGTCCTCTGCCACAGAGATAATAATATTTTCCATTTCTGAAATAGGGTACTTCACATTCAAACTGCAAAAATACTTTTTGTAAGAATGAAGTACCTATTTCATGCTTGAAGAGAGTTTAAAAATACTTCTTAGCACAATGTAAGTTCCTCAGCTAGCAAGAAACCCTTTTTGGATCTGACATTTCATAGATGTGATTATGCAATCTCTGTAATTTAAATTTAAATCTGATACATATTTGGGGAATGATTTCAAGAAAGTTATTACATTTACCCTAATACTACAAGTTGCATGTATGAGAGCTGTTACAAATTAGAAACAGACACACATTTTCTTCTGGTGAAACTTAACAAACAAGGAAGATATTGCACATAAGTGTAACTGTTTCAGGCTAAGATCTTGGGACTTGAATTAATGTTTTCAGTTTTATTTTATATTCTAATGGAAGAAAATTTCAAGTAAACTGCACCAAGATTTATCAATCTGACTCTTAAACTCTTCATTCCATTTTTCAATTTTACCAACATTAAACTTCTAATTGTTACAGCACAACTAGCAAAAGGAGCAACCCAAAAGAATGGATTACTTTGTGAATCTACATTTTTATTGATATATGTATACATCTCTTATAAAAACCATGAGGAGCTGTTGTCTGGTTTTACTGAGTTTCATTCCCTTGTTTTAAGAAATGGTACGCATTGCTGAATATAAAAATCATGTTCCAAGGGGTGTCCAATCCCTTGATTTTTGATTCAAGGATTGCTGTTGTGTAGAGCAGTGCCTGATGATAATACTGATACTGTAGTCCCATTAAGACCAGAGTGGGTACATCTGTATTCCATGAGTTTAGCTGCCTCTCTGCCAGACTGAAATATCCTAAACCATGCATTTATCCTGTTAACATACTGAAATCTATAGCTGACCTGAATGCTTGTTTCTTTTTAGAAACTTGTGGTGGAGAACGTTGAAGTTCTAACACAAATGAGGACCAGCTTCGACAAGCCAGACCAGATGGCAGCACTCTTTAAAAGATTATCATGTGGGTAACTAGCAAAGTCCAGCTAAAGATAAAGAATTTTGTATCTTTGTAAAGAAAATGAGAAAAAATAATTTCTCTGTATTAAATATACAGAGGTAGCAATATGTATGTGAGCTCATGTAAACTGATGCATCTTTTCAAATTTTTCCCATCCTCTCATGTACAGACAAAATGAGATTTCAGTGTTAACTAGTGCATGGGCACTAGAGTAGTGATAAGCTTTGAGCATCTTTTCTCAGGGATGATAACATATAGCTATAAAAACCTGCGTAAGCACTGTTTATTTTGGCTCTTTTAAGGAATGCTTTTGTTTCAGTACCTTGTGTTTTTTTCAGTATTTTGTTAAATGGTTTTTTTACATTTTTTGAAGAATTGAGCTTGTAAACATCAACAGGTTCTTGTTCACTATTGTTCTCGTTTATCTTCAGCTGTTGACAGTGTTTTGAAGAGAATGACGATTATTGGTGTTATCTTGTCTTTTCGGTCGTTGGCACAGGAAGCACTTAGAGATGTAAGAAATAACCGAATAGCTTCTGAATAATTTTCATTGTATTTAATTTAATGGAACGATAAGGTATTTAAAGCTTCATTATTTAGAAATGCTACCTCTTAAAAGGTTGGCACGTGGGTAAAATGGCAATACTCAGTCATAACTTGAACTTTGAATTGCAAGTTGGGGGGGTGATTTACTTTTTGAGTACTGCTTCAGAGAAATGTTACATTAAAACATACAGGCTTTAATTTGAGCATGCCCTCTCCATGTTTTCTGTATTTAGTACATTTTAAAAGCTTTTATTTCACTTTGTTTGCAAACAGCTCGATTGTGAGTTTATTAGGCTTTAATGTCTTAAATCTGCAAACATTTATAAGCGTAAAATAAAAACTAATTTAAAAAAAATTAATAAGTCCAGTAAAATAATGGTAGTTCCTAATTGATCATTAACATATGGGAAGTATTTTTTTCTCATGTTGTATGTGTTTGTGTGTCTTAGGTCTTATCCTACCACATTCCTTTCCTTGTAAGTTCCATTGAGGACTTTAAAGACCACATTCCAAGAGAGACTGACATGAAGGTAATGTTTGGTCCAAAGGGTGATGGAGTCAATTTTGGAGCTTACTGAAAATATATAAGGGGCAAGACTTTCACATGTAGCGTGAAAAATCCAGAAACAAAGAGCATCCTTTTTTCCCAAGGAGCTAACTAGTTGTGCATCTGCAGCCTCCTAATGTTCTAGGAAAAAAAAACCCAAACTGATAGGATAAGCACAAGTCTCTGTCTGCCAGTGATCACACTTGAGAACTTCCATGGAAAGAATTAAGAACAAAATTTGTCAAGTATTAAAACATGACTAAGCAGTAAAGGGAAGAGTACTGAGCTGCTTCATAGTGTGAGCAGTGTAACTGGTAAAACTAAATGTTTCAGGGACTCTGTGTACATGGTTGGAGCTCTATGCATGTAATAGCTACAAGGCAGATTTTGACCTTAAATTGAAAATTTTTGTGAACGCACTGTCTCTGAAATACTTGAAAAAAAGTTAGCAGCTTAAATGAGGTGTCTTGCTTCTGAATGGTAGTATGTTTCCATCCAAAAAAACCTTGTCAGTGGCTTCTGGACACATATGCATAGTAGCTGCATCCTAGCTGGTCTTTTAATCCCTCATTGCAGCTTGGAGCCTATGAAGGTTTGCAAGCTTCTTAATGGTATTGCGGCAATTTGAGTTGCAGAAAATGTGTAGTGGGATATGCATTGCACAACTTCTGATTAATTTTTACAGAAACAATTTTTAGAAATCTCTTCTTGAGCAAAGTGTGGTTTTTGAGGGCCAGAATATGTTGCTATTCCTGAACTTGAAGTTTACATTTTGCCATTTACTCTTGAGGAAAGAAACTTAATTTCTGTTGTGTATGAAGATTCACTAAATTTAACAAAAAAAAGCCTTCTCCTTTTGAAAAAGTACCTTACAAGAACAGTTCAGAGTCCATTATGGTGGGCCTCGTGATTTCAGAAGACACTGTGTAGCAGTCTGTCTGAAAATGAGTCAGAGTTTGCATGAAGAATATAAGATACTGAAATTTCACACGTATGCTATTTCACTCCAAAATACAATGACATGCTCTCTGAAACTTGCAGTGCTGATAAACCAGCTGTGAATGTTTGATGTCCCAGAAAACATTGAATTTCATACCACAACAGAGGAATTCTGTGAAAATGCTATGGAAAATTACCTTCAAGGATACTGGCTCATGATAAAAATTATATCAAAATGATTATAAATATATAATATCAAAATTATGCAAGTTGCCTTTGTGCTTCTCAAGAAAAGCTTTTCTAAAATTCTCACCTGTAGCTACAGAGAAAATTAATCACCAAAGCATCATGTTCCATTATTGAACTTAAGGAATCGGCATGCAGAAGAGATGAGAAGGGAAGTTCACTGCTTACTTTACTTGATCTTTTCAGAAAGCATCTTACAGCCTCTCATATCAAAGGGGTCCTGAAAAATAGAGTAGGATAAAGGCTGCAACAGTAATCACTGAAGACAGCATTTTGCTATTGGTGTTTTCAAGCTGATGATAACAGATCATTTTAAATACCTCAGTGGATCTCTAAAAGAAATCACTGAATGCATTTGTGTCAGCAGATACAAGAAATCATAGGACTTGCTGCTTCTCTTCTGGAGGTCACTGGAGTAATTTAGTCACTGGAATAACTGGATGGCAAAAAAGCTATCTACTGCTAAATAAAACCATGCTGAGGACTGTTCTCTGGCTCATGCCACTTAGCATCACCTGATTGCCTTTGCTTCATGTAATATTTGGCTGTTGGTCGTCTTTGGGTCTGCTGTAGTTCCACTGTGATTCTTAAATATGCCTGTTTTGTGGGGGTGTTTTTTGTCTAGTTCAAAGTGTCTGAAATAAATTCTAAGTGCTGTGGTACAGTCCACTGTGCTGGTGTTCGCATGATACCAACTGTAAATGTCACATGTTGTGGTGTGGTTTGAGAGTCGATAGCTTGCCTGGATAATGTTGGAGGACTGTGCATGGAGAAGGAGCCAAACCTGTGTAGTCTTGTCCATAGTGCCTACTGGGAATACTGGGAACTCTGACATGTGCTACCCTGCAACTCTGCCAGAGCTTTGTCTTGAAAACAGCTTGTTGAAAGTGCCAGAGTTGTGCTGTGAGCTTGCTAGCAATTAACCCCCGCGGACTATCAGCAGCCCTTTTTCTGAGCTTTCTCCGGGCCTTGTCACATACAACGCTGCAACTGTAGGCAACAGAGGCTTCTTTTGGGACAAGGCAGACTGCTTTTTCTTAAATAAAGGCATATTAACAGACAGATCTTTACAAGGCTTTGTACAATGGGTTGTGCCACTTGTACAACTGGGCATATTTTAGGACATTAATAACATAGTAATTTCCCATGTACTTAATTTACCAAGCAAAACAAATAGTTTTAAAGCTGTTGATGAAATAAATACTAGTTATGAAATTATATTTTTATTTTGATACCCCTGAAACTTATGGTTTGAGGTGACTGGCAAAATGGGGATTTGTTCTCCTTTTATTTGTTTTTGGTTTGTTTTTTTTTTTTTAAATTATAAATTGTTGGGATGTGTATACAGGCTTTTAGAAACAGGCTTGCATTTGTTCCACTGTTGTGCCTTAACCAGTTTGTTGTCAACCAGCTCCTGCCCAGATGCTCTGTAATCCTTTTGATGCAGGACTGTACTCAAGCTAATATCATGTGTCCTGCTGACAGCACAGCACTGCGCGAGCAAGACTGTATGCTTTTCATATCAGAACTTGCCCTTGGGTAGCCAGGCTGGAGCACACAAATAAGGATAATCTGCATAATATCCCTGAGGTGGAACTGGCCAACTAACTATATGTGAGAACTTACGGGCAAAGTGTAAAACTTCTCAAATGTTAATTACAGTAAGATGCATTGCTAGCATTTCCCGTAGTCCTTTGTATTTAGTATAAACCTGCTTTTGTGGGGATGCAGCTGAACTACAGCTTCAGCTACTTTGTCCAAAATGTAAGCTGTGGAATGAGAAGAACCGTGTTGAAAGTCTTTTAATGGCAGTAAAAGTTACAGCCTGGGACAGGCTGGAAAACGGAATGCATTTCAAGATCTTCTTAGTTACTAGGGCCGCTTAGAGTCTAATTCTTGGCACTTGGAGTCACTGGACACTGAATCTGTACCAAATTTGACTGTTTTAAGATTTCTTTTCTGTCTTACTCTAATATTTCACCAATTGTGACTTTGGCTTTGTCTAAAAATTCTGTATTTGCAGATATTAGCTGATACTTTAGATCTGGTAGAGAAAATGTTAGTTTCCTTTGAACAATAAAGAAAGATGTAGAAACAGCTAATTGGAAGTCAGGATGTTTGCTTTGGAGGTAATGTAGAAAAGTAGACAAGCTTTGTTTGGCTTGACAAAAAGCAATTATCTAGCACACAAAGTATTGACCCGGCTGTTCAATGTAGGTTAGAAACAAACAAAAATCTAGAGTCTCTTTATCTTCTTTTAGCCAATTCTCTGAAATTTCTAGTGCCTCAGACTCTAATGTGAACATTTTAAACATGACAGCAAAACTGTGCTTCATCATGTTTACACAAAAAGCTTTCAATGTTGTCTTTTTAGTAATTATCTTTCTTCTGGTCCTCAGGTGGCAATGAATGTATATGAACTATCATCAGCTGCTGGATTGCCTTGTGAGATTGATCCTGCCTTGGTCGTAGCACTGTCTTCCCAAAAATCAGGTAAGAAGTTACAACTGAAACAATACAAGTGTAAATAAATAAATACGGGGAGCAAAAAACATAAGTGCACCCAAGTGCAAGTGTTTAAAGTGCTAGGAGGAGACTTGTATATCTTGGGTCCTTTGTAGTCCTTTGAACTTCATAAATGGCATAAGAACATGAATTATTTATGCCTGCTGCCTACTGATGTGTTAGCTTGGGAATCTTTTCAACCACATATGAATTAACTTGTTGACCTAGAAAAGGATAATGAGTAGATACTGAAGAAGGAGTTTAATTTAATAGCTATTGGTGAAAACTGCTGTAATTTAAGGACAATGAAAACAGGACTCTGTTGTGAACAACTACAGACATGATCAATTCTGTTGTACAGATCTGTAACAAGTCTGTGTTATGTAAGTAGGCATTAAGAACTGAAATGCCAGCTGAATGCACTTCATGAATTTCACAACATGGCGTTACCAGTGTGTTATACAAATGTTAACATGGAGCATACAAGGGGAAACATAGTAAAATAAACATGTTAATGTTCTAACATGTATAGTGCTTCCTCTTGCTTGCTTTAAAGCACCACTGTCTAAGCTATTCAGTTTTATTTACTCTGGCAGGTTTGAAGGTATGAGTTAAGACTCTCAAGTGCTTTTTGACAGTCTTCAGCTTTTTTTCCCTATCTTCCTTACAGAGCACTGTATTGCTTTTTTTCCCCTGTGTGTAACAGTTAATGTTATAATCAGATTGTGAATATTTTAAATGCTACCTAAGTTGTTTTTTCTTACTTTAATAGCAGTTATTTGGGGAGGCAAAAATACAGCTAATTCCAAGGGGCATTTTAATATTCAAACTTGAGTGTCAAGCACAATTTCTTTGTGTATGTTAAAAAAAAAAAAGTGGTTTATATACATTATATGCATAATACACATAGGTATATCTTTGGAAGATAGCTAGTATCTGAAATGGCATTTTAAATAGATTATTTTCATTGTGGTACAGCTGTGAAATGTAAGGGTGAACAAGATAGGGAATTTTTGTATATTGTCATGATTGGTTAGGATCTTGTATTTTGATTCTTGTCTTTGAAGTATTTTGCTTTTAGTAATTAAGTTTGTACATATGTAAGTACTGTATTTCACCAACTGTTGACTTTTTTATAAACTAATCTCATGCTAATGTGTGGTGATGCTATTTTTGAAAATGCAAGGTTTTAGTGTGAACTGAGGTGAGTGCACATCACCAGCTGCTCATTTACCAAAGGGAGAGTGCAAGAGAAGCTCTCCTCACCTCAGAGCAATAACTGGATTTACACCAGCATGTAAAAATACTTTTCTGCTCAGCATATTAAAGTCCTAGTAACTAGATGGTTAGCCGTGATGGGGTGGCAGCGGCTTGCCTTCATTCTTCTTAGATAACAAACTGGACATTTTGAAGTTCCACCCTGTGTCTTTTGGCAAGACTGACACAATACTCTTCCTTTGACAATACAAACATCAAGTTTTATTGTTAGCGCATTTAAATTTCAGTTTGGTCAAACATTTTATGTTCTAAACTACCTGCAGTTGAAATATTTTAAGATTACTTATTTTTAATTAAAAGAACTTTGTTTTGTTTTGGTTTTTAGAAAACATTAGTCCAGAAGAAGAATATAAAATTGCTTGCCTTCTCATGGTCTTCGTGGCAGTCTCCTTGCCAACTCTGGCTAGTAATGTGATGTCTCAGTATAGCCCTGCCATTGAAGGTAATGTAGAGTCAATGAAATATTTGCTGTGAATGCTTACTTCATAATAGTCCTAGTTAATTACATTTTATAGCGACCAAAATTTAAAAATCAGTCCAAATCCAGGAAGGTTCTGAAAAAGGAGTCTTCTGCTTGAGATTTTAAGAGCAGTTCAGATACTGTAGGGGGCGATCTTGTCCTAATATGTGGAATTGCTAGAGCATACATTCTACATTAATTAGTGTGAGACTTCTTATGTAATTGTATGGATGTTTTAGTAATCTTTACATTGGCTTTGGGCCACTCATACAAGGTGTCTTTTCTATATTTAATAAGCTGTTCATACTACTAAGCATAAAATTTTGAAAGCAGAATGTGGAAGGTGTAAGCTGTGAACAGAATTATATCCTATGTAGTAGCTCAACTTACTAAAAAAAACCCAAAAATCTTTGCCTCAAGGAAATTCTTTGCATGTAATCCACAAAAAAGAAGTTCTCTTTCAGACAAAAAAGTTGGGAAAAAAAGAAGACTGACACAACTGTTCCAACATATACAAAAGTCACCTTTCAGCTGTTCAAGCTATTTCCTTTGTGATGTGTAGCATGGCTCACACAAAAGACCATGTTTATTCTGCATCCATTTACTGGGTACAGCGTGGGTTTTTCTATTCTTTTTTAAAGTTGCATTATTTTTAATCCAATCAAAATTTAACTCACAAAGAATGTCTAAACTGACTTCTGAAAATTTAAACTACTGGGAAAAGACCAAAAATTCTGAAAGCCACCTGTACCACTTAGAGAGGTATGCAAGTCACAGGATTTGTTAACTCTAGTTTCATTTTAAACAGTGTAGCCTTTTGCCAGTTTTGAAAAAGTTGGATAAATCTCTGGTGCAACGAGTAGAACTTGAACATTGCTTTGAAAAGTTACAAATTTTAACGTTAACAGCTGCTTCTGATGAATAGAGAGAACAATCTGTAACCTGCAGAGTTGTTCCATGTTATCTGCACTTTCATAGTGTTTCTACCGCTTCTTGCAAGCTTTTTCAAGGTTATGATGGCTGGATGAAAGTCTCAGCAGATAGGCAAGAGCAGGGAAAATCAAATGTGATTGGCGAGGGGCATGGGTAGAAACTTGCTTGTTAAAGGTCAATCAGGTTAGTTCTCTTAACTCAGTCCCAATTAACTTGCTTATGTGTGTTTTAAGACCGTATATCTAAAATACTTCTCGTTTACAGTTTTGTAAAAGAAACCCTCCGGAAGCACTTTCTGCTGCCAGTTTCTCCTTTGAAAGTATCTTACTTGCTGTAGACTCTAAAAACTTACACTACTTGTCAGGGGGACAGTGCTAAAAGTTTTTAATGGTGATTATATTTTCACATTCACCCCTCTGCAAATTTATTTCTGAGAACGTAAACTGGGCTAGCTAGAGGCTCTCCAGCAGGTTAGAGCTCATGCAGGTTTGCCTTCCTCAAAATCCACTCTCTTCCAAGAACCCTCTTAGTACTCGGGGTCTTAGCAGGCTGAAAACAACAGATAATTCAATCTTCTGCCTGTTTTATATCATGTAGCTTAAATATTCCAGTTTCTGTGATATCATTTACATCCAGTAACTCCTAAAATGAAGTCAGACAAAGCCTGTTTCAAAGTGAGTTCTTAAAGTAAGTACGCTTAATAAGATCTCATAAAACTGCGACTGGAGAGAAGTTACATCTAGAACTCAAATAAGCCCGTATTAGGAGTTGCTACTGATTTGATGAGATGTGGCCTCTGTTTTATATAATTCTTGACTGAGTGGGCTCTTTTTTTATTGAGAGGAAAAGAGTCTGGCAAAAGGAATATATAAAATATGTTCACGCTACAAAAATAACTGAACAAACAGAATAGACCTTGTCAGTCCTGCCTTCCCTGCATAATATTACTTTTTCCTGTGTTCAGCCCTTACTGTAGAACATCTGGCTTCAGACACTTAATACAGATGCTATTTCCAGAATGAGAACTTAATAAATGCTGCTTTTTGTGAAGTAAATTCCCTGGACAAATCATGAATTTATCCATCAACAAGTGACAGATTTGAAGGAGTTTCAGCTTTCTAATACCTCCCAAACATAGTTCTTGGACGGCTTTAGCAATGTCTGCATTCTCTCTGCCTACTTGAAGATCAAGCCAGTTTCTTCCACTAGCTTCAGATAAAGGCTCAGACTCTAACAGACCTTTACTTTTGTTCCCAGTAAGAAATCTGAACTGCTAGTCCAACATCAGCCTAGAGGACTAATTTCTTGCTTAGAGGCTAGAACAGAACACTAGTCTGCAAGAGACATAGCCTTTTCTAAATGCTTGAAACCTGTCGCAGGTTGGAAGAAAATAATTTGTCAGCTGAATTCCCCTGCTGGTGCTTTTTCTACAGTCTCTGAGACACAAAAATGAAGTCACTTCAAAAAATCAAGCCACTTCAAAAACAAATATAAATTTAAATCAGCAGGATTAAGTAGAACAGATGTTCTTGACTGATGTTCAAGGAAAGTGGTGATCTCTTCTTTTTTTGGACCAGCATACTCATGTAGTAATACTTAAACAAAAAATAGGAGATGGGGTAGGACAATCAACTCCAGGGGGCCTGCTGGTGGAGATCCACAGGGATCTTTGCTGGGACCCACTAGTCAGCATATTCATAGACTGGGCAGAAGGACAATGAAAAGTGAGGTGAGAAAATGTTCCTATCACGTGAAGTTACTGAGGATATTAGAGGAGTAAAGAGTTGCAAATAGATGTTATGACACTAAATTGTGCAATAAAATGACAGATAAAATTAATTTTAAGTAAGAATAGTGATATGCATGGGGAAAAAAATAATTTTTCTCATGTGGAGTGATGGGGCCTAGCTGACCTCGCTCTTCAGGCATGATCTTGGAGTTATGATAAATGATTGAATGAAAAAAAGAGCTGAGTGCTCAGCAATGGTCAAAAAGAATTGGTAAGAATCAGTAGTGTTTGCATGTTTGTATGCTTCTTAACTCCTTCAAAGACCTCCTCCTTTTCATGTCCTAGCACTTCCGCAAGGTATTTGCCCAGGTGTCTATTTATTTGGTTTTAAAGTGGTAGATTTGACTTAATTTGACCAGAAGAGATACCAGGCTTACTGAGGAGCAGTTGTTCTGCTCTCTTTGAAAATTGGTGTAATTTAATCAGCTTCCAGGCCTCTGACGCCTGAGTGAATTTTAGGCAAGATGTTATGTACCGCAATTAGCAATTTGACAGTTTTGTTCTTGAGTTCCTGTAGATCTCTTGGGTGAATGCTGTCTAGGCATGATGACTTGTTCATTTACACAGAGGGGATAAAAATAGCCAATTAGCTTGAAAAAGCCCTGCTTGCACCTGTCTCTTTAGCCTAGTCAAGTGGTAATACTCTCCAAGTTTTGTAGAAGCCAAATAAACTTCCAATGTATTACTTTTCCTTATTTCTAAAAGCCACAGGGATCTTTGTCAGGTTGTTGTGACCATGGCAGCATTCAAAGATCTGTACTTCTGATGGCTTTCCTGATACCAAGTTCAAAGTACCAGTACTTTGCTCCTGTTGTGTAAGATGCTAAAAGTTGATCGTTCATTGTGACAAATCTGTTTGGTGATATTTTCCAAAAAATACTGTGATTTTCAAACATGATGCTGAGGTAATTTGTATATGGTTTTGTTTAGGGCATTGCAACAACATTCATTGCTTGGCAAAAGCTATCAACCAGATTGCTGCAGCTTTATTTACCATCCACAAGGGAAGCATTGAAGACCGTCTCAAAGAATTTTTGGCGGTATGTAGAACTTCATTTCTAGAGCTAGCTCCTCTAAAAAGAGGGGAACTCTCAGCCCCTAATGCTCCTCAATCCATTTTTATACATAGTCTGGCTTGTGCAGTGCTGTTGGTAAATTATGTGTTTGTCATTGCAAGTATTACTTTTGCAGCAGCAATCAGCCATGAGTAATCTTAATCACAAGGGCATACTATAAAGATTTGGATTAGTATGGATGAGTATCAATTAACCAACATTTATTCCAATAGCAATATTGCTTCATAGTGCTTGTAATGTTACTTATTTTCCTATAGTGTTAGATTGCAGAGAAACTAAGGTTATTGTATAATACAGCGTTGATTTTGATTAGGAGAAAATCAGGTGTGGGTAAGTTACTTTTTGAAGTCTAGCAGTTGGTTAAAATTTGTATCTTACCACAAAAAATATCTATGGACTTCAGGAAGTATTTTCAAATTAAGGTGGAAAATGTAATACTAATTTGGGATGCAGTGCCATTGATTTCATATGAATCTGGTTTTGATGCACGAGAGAAAAGCATATTGTTAATACAAGCCTATATGTAGATTAAATTTAGTAGTGGTCCTTTAGCAACAGTCAGCTGTGCGTGATGTTGGAAAGTAACAGTAGCAAATCAGTGCAAGTGTCGTACACTCTTTTTTTTTTTTTTTCCGGTATAATCTTTAGTATTTTAGCACATAGCATCTCTTATATTGTGTGGCCCAGGACTGGAAAAAGAAATGTGAAATGCATATAAATTGAAGATTCTCTCTAGCAGACTTTTTCCCATGATGTGTTGGACTCTGGTTTATGTTACTTTTTCAAAGAAGGAAACTCCAGAGCGGCTTTTGAGTTGTACCTTTTGACATGTGTGCCCTTCTTAAACACAGTACCTGTCTGATAGCAGTATGTTACAGGGGTATTTGGGAAGAGGGATTTTTATGCTTTGGAGTAGGCTGAAGATCAAAGCTTTTGAAATCCTTACTGATGCTTAGAAAAAAATCAAAAGCCCTTAGGTGGTGGTGATGCATCTTAAATACATTTTGGTGTGCTGCCCGAGTAGAAACAGAATTTTTAAAGTGGCTCTTAATTAGCCAATACTTGAAGGGAAACTAAAGGCTAAAACAGCAGTGTCACTTTAATTTCTAAAAATTACTACTGATTTTGAGTGATTCTTAATTTTTGCTATGTGGCCTTGAAATGTGAAAAATACCTCTTTCTTCCCACCCCGCCCCCCCCCTTAGGTGCCTTACACACTTATGGGGGTGGAATAATGAGAACTGTACATAACTAGAAGTCCACAGAAACAATTTCTTTTTTTTTTTCTTTTTTCTTCTTTTTCTTCTTTTTCTTCTTTTTCTTCTTTTTCTTCTTTTTCTTCTTTTTCTTCTTTTTTTTCTTTTTTTCTTTTTCTTTTTCTTCTCTCTTTCGTCTTCTTTTTCTTCTCTTTCGTCTTCTTTTTCTTCTCTTTCGTCTTCTTTTTCTTCTCTTTCGTCTTCTTTTTCTTCTCTTTCGTCTTCTTTTTCTTCTCTTTCGTCTTCTTTTTCTTCTCTTTCGTCTTCTTTTTCTTCTCTTTCGTCTTCTTTTTCTTCTCTTTCGTCTTCTTTTTCTTCTCTTTCGTCTTCTTTTTCTTCTCTTTCGTCTTCTTTTTCTTCTCTTTCGTCTTCTTTTTCTTCTCTTTCGTCTTCTTTTTCTTCTCTTTCGTCTTCTTTTTCTTCTCTTTCGTCTTCTTTTTCTTCTCTTTCGTCTTCTTTTTCTTCTCTTTCGTCTTCTTTTTCTTCTCTTTCGTCTTCTTTTTCTTCTCTTTCGTCTTCTTTTTCTTCTCTTTCGTCTTCTTTTTCTTCTCTTTCGTCTTCTTTTTCTTCTCTTTCGTCTTCTTTTTCTTCTCTTTCGTCTTCTTTTTCTTCTCTTTCGTCTTCTTTTTCTTCTCTTTCGTCTTCTTTTTCTTCTCTTTCGTCTTCTTTTTCTTCTCTTTCGTCTTCTTTTTCTTCTCTTTCGTCTTCTTTTTCTTCTCTTTCGTCTTCTTTTTCTTCTCTTTCGTCTTCTTTTTCTTCTCTTTCGTCTTCTTTTTCTTCTCTTTCGTCTTCTTTTTCTTCTCTTTCGTCTTCTTTTTCTTCTCTTTCGTCTTCTTTTTCTTCTCTTTCGTCTTCTTTTTCTTCTCTTTCGTCTTCTTTTTCTTCTCTTTCGTCTTCTTTTTCTTCTCTTTCGTCTTCTTTTTCTTCTCTTTCGTCTTCTTTTTCTTCTCTTTCGTCTTCTTTTTCTTCTCTTTCGTCTTCTTTTTCTTCTCTTTCGTCTTCTTTTTCTTCTCTTTCGTCTTCTTTTTCTTCTCTTTCGTCTTCTTTTTCTTCTCTTTCGTCTTCTTTTTCTTCTCTTTCGTCTTCTTTTTCTTCTCTTTCGTCTTCTTTTTCTTCTCTTTCGTCTTCTTTCTCTGTCTTCTTTCTCTGTCTTCTTTTTCCCCCTTAAAAGGATCTTTCATTTCTGGAAGTTCATTGCATTTTGCAAAACAGAAAAAACCTTTGGCCATTGACCTTGTCTAATGCAACTGCTGGCTGTAAAAGATGAAAGAGAAATGGTTGTGTCAAGTTGCATACATTTGACAAGTGAAGGAAACCAGTATAGTTTCATGTGATAAAAACACTTTTGGTATGAAGTTTGCATTTTTTCACTGTTTATGAACTGGTTTCAGACCACAGCTTTTACTGCACAGACCATGACTTGATGGCTAAGATATTTTGATAATCTTTCTTTTCTAACACCTTTTGTATATCACTTACTGTTACTCTGAAAGAAAAACATTTCTCTTAAGAAGAAAATGTACTGCTGGGGATGATCTGCTTTCCTGTTAAAGTTAAATACAGAAAAAAACTTACAAGGTTATTTAATATTGATGAGTATGTGCTAAGATGATTTTGAGGTATGCACATTCACTTTATATTGCAAATTGATTAATGCCCAGATTTGTTCAAGAGGAATCTTGATTTAGATTTTAAAGTTAACTTTTCAAGTTGAAATCCATTTATGGTAAATATGTGGTTTAGGCACATTGCCATTGCTTGGTGTGAGGGCATAAACGATGATTGTACATCTGAAAGATGAAAAGAGATTTTTTTCAAATTTCTGTAAAGCATGAAAACATGGGTTATCAATGCATCTGCAAATTACCTATTTTACTGTATTCTGTCATCCTGAGCTTGTAAATACCTCGGTACGTGTTACAAGTTTCTAGGATATCTTTTAAAACTAGTATTTGTAGGGTTGCTCATGGTCTGATAAAATATTACTCATTTACATTTAGGATGGCACTTCTTCAGTTAAAAATACAGTTTAGGAAGTAAAACTTAATTTGTCTTTCTATTGCAAAATGGGTGTAACTTCAAACAATAAAAACTCCAATGGCTTTAAATCTTACCAAAATGCAGTAAGTTCATACATGTTTTAGGAGGGACAGGAGAAAGGGAGATCTTGATCCCATGGAAGTTCTGTCATTAATTTCAGTAGACTTTATAATGGTCAACCAGTGATTACAACCTAAAGTTCTTTGCAATAAATTAATTTCCTTTTTGTATTAAAACAGCACATACTGCTTATTAAACACTGCTAGAAATAAACAAAAATGGCTCGCTGAGACTGAAGCACAGTGATGGTTCATATGTTCAGGATTACTTACTTTCCTTTGTAGCTATTTGTACACCACCGTGTCTGTTGACTAGGATATTGATTTCTTCAGAAAGGTGGGGGGGGTGGCAAAATAGCAAAGTCAGTCAATGCATTGTTTTATTTATTGCTTTGGAATTCTCATTGTTATGTAGCTTGCATCGTCTAGTCTACTGAAGATTGGCCAGGAGACGGACAAAACTACTACAAGGAACAGAGAATCTGTTTACCTACTACTAGACATGGTAAGCTTTTGTCTATTTTATGTGTTACTAATTTAACGAATAGGTTCCACATTGCGTCATTCAGCAAGGGGGTTTTGGGTATCACATCACTTTGTGTGTTATAGCTCGTCAACCAGTGGAAATAATTTTTTATGTCATTCTTCCTGGCATTCTAATGTCAGATACTAATTTTTTTCATTCCCCCAACACACACACACAGCTTTACCATCATCCTTCATTGCCTAGAACATTGTATTACACGGTTCATATCGTTTTCATTGATCATTTAGTACATACAATATTAAAATGAAATTTCACATTAAAGAAGCATCGTTCAGTGTGTGTGTAGGGGGAGAATCTTCTCTGATCAGAGGTTTTCCTTTCGGTATTCTGTATCTTTTGGAAGTGGCAGGAGTGCTATATGACTCTATATATAGGGAAGCTAAATGACTAGCTTTGAGAAATGGTGAGTTTATAGCAATGTGTTTCTCCCCAAAATTTAAACTTTGTGTTGTTTCTTTTTGCTATGAAATACGTGAGTGGTGGTGTGGTGCAGACCAGAAGTATCTCCATGAAACAGATTAGCAGTAGCAGGCAGTAGAAGGTGTTTTGCAAACCCTTGTGTTTCTGGTATTTTCCAGATTGTGCAGGAGTCTCCATTCCTGACAATGGATCTCTTGGAGTCTTGTTTCCCTTACGTCTTGCTGAGAAATGCATACCACGCTGTCTACAAACAAAGTGTCACATCCTCTGCCTAAGTATCTACTTACTGGAGATAAGACATAGCACGCATCTATGTGGCCTCAGTTTTATCTGTAAACTGTGGAGCTATTTTACTTTATGGCCTGATGAACAGTTTTGTGGATTATAAACTTTTTCCATAAAGTTGTATTTCTGATCAGTGGTTTCTTAATATGGTTGTACTACAATATAAGCTTGGTTGATTTTAGGTTGCACATTCATGGAAAATCTTTTTTCTCATTTCTTCCTTTTATTTTTTTTTAACTTAGAGCATCAGTTATGTTTAAAAAAATACTACTTCTGCTATATGTTTTTTGATATTGATCATGCAAAAGAAAAATTGCTTGTTTATTTCCCAGAAGAAAAATGTATTTAGTGATTATTTTAGATAGTGTAGCTTTCATCTGTGTGTAAATTATTTCATATAGGGAGAGTTATAATCTTGTACCTATTGTTCTTATTGAAAACAAATATTGGATGTGCATTTCTGTGAAGTAATTACAGCATTTCTAGTTTTATTTTGAAACATTCACCAATCTACGTATTATGACACTATCTAACATAAAAAAAAGTTATAGGACTGCTTATCCTTCAAACAGCGATCCTCTCCCAATACTCCTAAACAACAGCAAGTGGTGTTGTTTGTATAAAGCATCGTGGAAATTTTTTTTAAACTAACTTCTGTGGTGCCCTGTTGGCATTAACACTACCATTGTACCCTGCTGTATAATAAACATTCTTACACATTTATCACATGTTGATAAAATGTTAGCCCTTAACCACTTTTTATATGTTTTAAATTTTTGAAATTCAAGTGTACCTTCCATAACATACAATAAACACTAGACTGTATTATCTGTAGGTGAATTATTTTTAATATAAATGTTATCCTGGTATTTTAAGCTTAAACTGTGCTGTTGTGCATTGATTTACATCTCACAGTTCATTAAATATCAATCTTTAGAGCTTTTATGTGAAGACTTCTCTTAATCCATCACCTTTTGGCTTCTGCGATAGTGAATCTTGTAAAAAGTTGGAAGAAGGAATTAAAAACAATGTAAAAAGTGTCAGTTTAGTGCCATTATCCTTTAAATCTTAATTTTACATAATACAGCAAGAAAAAGCATTTATATAGTCCATAGCGATGCCAGTTGTACTCATAGAAATGTGTATTGTTAAAGTATAAAACTTGAAATACTCGTAGAACAGGAGAGTGTTGCGAAAACCGTAACATCAGCCATTACTGAGACAGATGTATAATAGGCCTTTTTTTTATCAATCATACAAATTGGCATGCGGGATAGCATTGGCTCATTTAGCCTGAAAGCTGACCAGATGGTTGCGCTCTTTAATCCACAGCATATAAAAGCTATGTGTTTCTCCACAGGCTCAGGACATTGTATAGAGCCCCTGTTCTTGATGCAACTTCTGTGCATGCTGGTAACTTTTTCTATTATGAAAGAGCTGTTGTGTGCTCAGTTACAATAGCTTCCTCTGTCCAGAGGAAAAGAGTACTGGAATAAAATTGTCCTAAAGAAGTGAGACATCTATATTTTTCCTAATTATGCATTTTATGTTATAACCATGGAACTGTTTTTAAGTTGATAATTTAGTATCGTAATGAATAAGTTTGTTCATAAAGAAGTTAGGTTGAATGCGAGACTTAAGAGCTCTATTCTGTAATATTTATAATTAATACATTCAAATGTCTTGATTTTAATTAAGATTTTGATTGTAATGGAGCCTTTTGTGGAAAAATAATGCCTATTTTCAAGACTGACTCTTGAAAAACTCAAGTTCAAGAAATAACCTATTTTGTGTCTTTAATCTTTTTAACTACAAAGCAATTGTATTTGGTTGTTTACCTCCGATCCCTGTCAGCTTTCCCGTGCCTGAGGTGTTACTGAACTAAGCCTAGAAAACAGGTAATCTCTGGCAAACGGATAATGAGTGCGGTATCTCTGCAAGAAATCTGACGCAGTCGGATTAGATTTAATCGTGAACCTTTTATACTCAGTAGTTTCTGTGGGAGCCCTCACAGGATTGTGCTGTGCTGTCTGGCACAGAGATGCCCAAGATGATGCCGTTTTAACCGCCCTTCCTGCAAGAACTCAGAGCAAGCTCAGAACCAAACCAAAAGAACAGGGAAGTTGGGGCAGAATTATGTGGACTCATCTACGTATCGGTTGGGGTTTGGAGGGGTTTGGGGTGGGGGTGGGCAGGTGTCCTTGCTTTGTTCTCGCTTGCTGTATTTCTGTTATTTCTAGTTTCAGCTGAGCCACCACAAAGCTATTTAGGGTTCAGCCTACTTGTGGATGGCAGAGCACATGACACATATACCTCAAGGCAGCTTGTGTCCATGCACTACACGAACTGTAATAAGCCTGTCGAACCCAATTGTCTTGGGGAAGAAGGTAGAGAAGGAATTCTTCCTCTGGAGCTGGCAGCACCATGTTCACCACTTAGTAAGTTCAACTGTTGACATTGTATATTGAGTCATCTCAGGTGGCCTTTTGTGCGTTTCCAGAAGTGTCTGTAATTCCTGGAGCATGAAGCACAGACGGCTGAGCTGGTCCCATATGGAGCCAGTTTGGATCAAATGTCTAATTCGCGGGGGAGGGCTCCGCCTCACGCAAGAGAGAGCATGGAAGAGGAATGTCCTGTTGCTGCCCAGAAAACTACTTTTAAAATTTAAAAAGATGTGTCCATCAGGACAAAAGATTACCATTGAAAATGAGGGCTACTGTTAAACCTTTTTTGCTGTAGCAATTTGTTTTCTAGATAGGAAAAGCAATTGGTAACAAACTTGACACTTGGAGTGTACTAGTTTTGATGCACTGGAGAATGACATTCTCCCCAGAAAATGTCGAAACGAGGCCGGTGATTTGAGGACAGATATGAGCCTTCTTCTGCAGGTCATCATGGGCTTGTATGACTTCAGAGCTTATTCATTCCAGATTCAAGAATTCTCGACCGTAAGTAAATACGCCTTGCCTCTAAACTGTATCTTTGCCAAAAGTTTCCCTGGTCCTGGGATTCAGCATTGTGATTCATACTAAAGAGTGAACTCTCAGTTCCTTACCAGTAACTATTACACATTCCGTAAGTACGGGTATGTCTGAACTAACGCTGTAACATTTTCTTGGGGTGAATCGCTCTGTCATGCTGAACCAAACTCAGAGCAAGGTTTATAGGTGTAGCCAATTATCCTGTTGAATCAATAAAAGAGTTTTTTAGACATAGGCTTCAAATAGTTCAAATTCAAGCATCTTTTAACTCTAGAATACATTTTGGATACTACAGAAGTAATTTATTGTGGTTGTATTCACTACTAAACTTGGCTGATAAATTAAGGACTGAATGAATACAGGGAAACTGCTTTCATTTCAATCCTTGGGGCTAGCCCCGAAGCACTGACACCACTGGCTGTGCAAAGCAAGGTAATTTAAACGACAGCTACACACATTTGATTCGGTTTTGTGGATCAGGACCACCATTTTCAGTGTTGTCAAATAACCAGTTTTCAAAAACCCTGAAGTTCTGCCTGTTTTTTCCTTTAAGTACAATTTTTGAGTCACTTCTATGATAAAGGTAAATCTTCCCCTAAAATGACAGAAGCTTTTTACTTGAATTGACCGCTCCTTATATGCTTTTGCTATTCGTCATGTTATAAAGCCTGTAAATATTTGTCGTAACACATAAAATCAAAATAGCCCCCGACCTGTGTCCAAAACCATATCTAATTTGCTATTTGTCATGCTGTTTCTAGTACAACTCTAGGTCAAAACGACCTGCTCGGTGGATACAGCATCAGTGTGTCTTACACAATTCAGTAATGGAAAATGTTGGTATTAAAATCAGAATGAAAAGCGTATGTTGAGCTTAGTGTAAAGCAAGGGGATTTGAGTAGTTTCTTGAGTAGACTTCCAGGTGATTGCCTTGTTCGTAACAGTAATCTTAATGTCTTCTCACAAATAATGAAGGTAAATAATTAAAAAATTTTACTGACATGTGTGTGACTACAGATGTGAGCTGCAAAGCTATTACAGCGGAGTGTTTAAAACCCTGATGCTAGTAAATCCAGCTCATTGTCCATTAACAACTTCGTATCTTGTCAGTACTCACTTCAGGTTGCAACTGGAAGATGGGGAAGGCATGATTGCAGGTTACCTGCAAACTCTTCTGGCCTCCCTGCCCTTGTCATTATCCTTTGAGTTTGGCTAAATTTGAGGTAAACTCGATGGGCATCCAGTGCAGAGAACAGAAGACTTGCTTTTGGCAAGAGCAGTATTATTTCTCAATACAAATTAGAAGATAATCTGTTTAATAATAGCAAGGACACAACAGCAGCAACAATGAAACCATTCCTTGCATAGGCACACAGAGGAAAGAGAAGTAAATCTGAGAATGCACTGTAAATTAATCTTATGCTAATTGTGATGATACAGAAGAGGAGTGAAAATGAGGTATGAGGGGAACTGAAAACAGTGATCACAGAGTGCTCAGAGAAGTTGGGAAAGGCGCTCAGTTACAGAAACATAGAATCATTAAGGTTGGAAAAGACCTCCAAGATTGTAAAGTCCAACTGTCAACAACACCACCCTGCCTACTCAACCATACCCTGAAGTGCCACATCTACATGTTTTTTTAAATACCTCCAGGGATGGTGACTCCACCACCTCTCTGGGCAGCCTGTTACAATGCTTGACCACTCTTTCGATAAGAAAAATTTCTTTAATATCCCATTAAAACCTTCCCTGATACAACTTAAGGCCATTTCCACTCATTCTATTGCTAGTTACTTGGGAGAAGAGACCAACACCCACCTCACTACAACTTTTCAGGGAGTTGTAGAGGGTGATAAGGTCTCCCCTCAGCCTCCTTTTCGCCAGCCTAAACACCCCCGGCTCCCTCAGCCGCTCCTCATAAGACTCGTGCTCCGGACCCTTCATCAGCTTCATTGCTCTTCTCTGGACACGCTCCAGCCCCTCAATGTCCTTCTTGTAGTGAGGGGCCCAAACTTGAACACGGTATTTGAGGTGTGGCCCCACCAGTGCTGAGTACAAGGGCACGATCACTTCCCTACTCCTGCTGGCCACACTATTCCTGGTACAAGCCAGGATGCTGTTGGCCACCTTGGCCAC